ACAGGAGGAAACAGAGGAGGAAACAGGAGGAAACAGAGGAGGAAACAGGAGGAAACAGGAGGAAACATGGAGCCTATCTTTAACACAGAGGAGGTTGTTGTACTGTGTCATGTTTAAAGCGACATGCTCGGTTTGTAATCAGCATATTGGAACATTAAAACTCATCTGAACTCTTCCCAACCTGAGGCATCTGAACAGCAACACAAACAGCAAAGCAAACCTGCAGCCTCGAAACACGCAAATATTTCAAAGATTAAACATAATCTAAAAACAAAAACACACAAAACCATCAGATTTATTGGACTGAATCAAGAATCCACAAATGAAAACAAAGGTTCCTCTGATGATAAGACCTGGATGATCGCTGCAGTAACACCCAGGTCTTCACAAACCTCCAGCTGATGGTTAAAATAATAGCAACAAGTCCCGACCACACCTGGGAATGCAGCCAGACAGGCTCTGCCGTATGTGCAGCAACCCCGTCTGTGATTATCTGTGTTTGAGTGCGTTCCTGCAGTTTCAGGTTTTGATTCCCTCGAGCAAAACTCATCCGATTTCACCACAAGCAGCACAAAGCCTCAGGGAGTTTAATTACATCTAAATCCACAGGCTGTTGCCTGGTGACACAAAAGACCTGATGGTTATTTCCTCGACTTTTGTATTTCACCTTCAATGCCTTCAAGTTACACAACAGCCAGACTCTGACAGGTTCTGATCTTTTGGAAGCTGCTGGAGCATGAACGCCGTTCTTTCACCTCCAGGCATCACTACGACACATTTCTGCAACTGGGTCAGAGTTTGTTCTGTTGTTGCTGGTGTGGAAACAAAGATCTTAACATCAGTGTTGTGCAGACGTGGGTTAAGGTCACAGTTACAGGTACGATCAGCAGTGGAACATCAAGACTAACGAGTCCCGAGTCCACACCTCTAACCTGGTGTGTGACATTAACCCTCTGATGATTTTTTCATGCATTCATTTCTCTCTTTGTGAAGCACCTGTGTTATATTTCATATCTTTAGTCACAATCACTCAAAATATCATGATAGAAAAGCTCAAATGTTTGTTTTACTATTTGTACATTAATAAAGAAGAAAGATGTAAGAAATTAAACTATAATAAAGTCTATTTACATGTAAGGGGATTTATTTTCCTGCCCTTTTCACTAAAATTATGACTCATGTGAATTATGAAAAATATGAATAATTCAGACATCAGCACTATTTCTGGGAAACTGACAGAGGAAAATACAGTTAATGAAGTCTGAACCTTCTTCACCTGCAACGTTACTCAGTTCCCAACATGTTAATGCAGATCTGGGTTAATACACATCCCCTTTTCACTTAGTTATTGGAAGTTCTATTGAACACATATTGTTGTCTCTCACGTCTGTGTAACTTCCAGGCTGTTTCTCTGTAACTGGTGAAACGCTCTGTCCAGGAAATCAAGAATTGCAAAGAAGAACCCTGGAGTTCTCCCTCCAGAGCCAAATCTGATAGGTTCCAACAAACAATCCGGTTTCTTCTGCTCAGCGTTCAGATATTTTTGTACTTTAAAACCCGACTGTTTCTGCCAAATCTAAAAGGTGCAGGCACACAGCTTGCCTCAGATGGAAAGAATTCATAGAAAGTACTTCACTGACTTAAAAAAAACAAATGAGACCAAGAGGAGGAGGAGCTGCTGTTGGACAAAACAGCGTTCCTAATTTGGACAGAATTACCGATGATGATTAATAATGATGTTTTTCAAGAGAGGAACTGGAATGTGAAGTTGTGAAACAAACACCAATTTCCTCCATTAAAAAGTCCCTAAACATCCATGAAAAGTCAAACTTCATCTGCAGCACGATTCACCTTCCAGCTGTCGATCGCTGGGTTTCCTCCTGCTCTCCCTCCGGTCAGAAGGAGCGCAGGAGATCATGAACTCAGAACACAGCCGCCTTTAAAGCTGGAAACATGTTTGTTGGAACAAATACATCTCAGAATGTGGAAACAATCAACTGAAGCACAAAGAGACGCTGATGAAACATCAGGTCTGAGCAGGCGAACCATCCCACCGATGCTTCACTGTTTCCTGTGGGGGCTTGTCTCACTGTGTGGGTGAAGTTTTATCTGATGAAGAAGCATAAACAGTGTCATCTGCCCCCCCCCCCTCACCGTGTCGACTCCTCCGAGCAGCAGCTCCGTGACGCTGATGTAGACCTCGGCTCTGGTCATCTTGTCAGACGACAGCAGGTAAGTCAGGTACATGCCCTCTGCCGGCTCGCCGCTGCACACCTGCGCTCCGATTTCAGCCATCCTCCTGTCGATGAGGGTCTGAGCTGCCGAACAGACACACAGGAAAAAAAAACATGGATGTCAACGTGAAACCGGAACCTGAAAAGACGCAGATTTCCCCCTTCAGTCGTTTCTCTTGCTGCCTACCTACGTCGTAGAGGTCGTCCCACGCCTGAACGAAGCGTTTCCAGAAGGGGAGGACGCTGCGGCTCCAGCGGGGGAAAAGCAACACCATGTCAGACAGCGTCAGCATGTTGTTGACGGCAGCGATGAAGCGCAGCGTGTCCGGGGGAATCTCCTCCTGCAGGCAGCCCAGCCTGGTCTCAAACAGGATGGAGGAGATGCCTGCAGGGGAGCAGGGAAAGGTTCAGAGGACTCACTTCCCTCTGTGCCCTCCACTCTGAGTGTCGCTGCAGCGCCTCTTACCCTCAAAGCCAAACTTGTAGAGCTCAGACGCCAGATCAGAAACCGTGGCCTGGTCCTGACTCTGGCTGCGGAGGAGCTCGACGCGTCGCAGCAGATCTCTGACCACGCTGTGGATGGTGGAAGCGAAGGCCGACACCTCCTGCAGCTTCAGCATCTTGGGGTTGAGGGCGCTGCGGATCCGGTACCACTCTGGTCCTGTGCTGGAAAGTGACAGAGCTTTAATGTTCTTCAGATTACAGATTCGAGGTGACCCATGAAGGCGTCGTGAGGGACCCCTTCACAAGAAATCAGACTTTCAAAAACATGAAGCTTTAACTCTTTAAATGTTATTATTTGTCCCGCCGCGGCGTCCGTCTCCACTCACTCCACATGCAGACCGTAGGCCTGTCCCCTCAGGTCCCTGTACTCCTTCCAGTGCGGCAGCTCGGCCCGGACCGGGTAGCGACCCTCCTGTTGGATCACCTGAGCTATGAGCTCCGGAGTCGCCACGTTGACGAGGTCGAACGGGCCGAACCTGGAGCGCCAAATGGGTCCGTACAGACTCCTCTGTAAACCCTGAGGAATAATGACAGTGTGAACCACAATTTCAACATTTACACAGCTGATTTCTGAGATACTTGTACAACCTGAAATATTCTATTGTATTAAATTACTCCACCTAAAGTAACTGGTTACTTTTTTATAAACCTGTTCAACCAAAATATATAATTAGCTCCATAATTACGTAGATTTAATTGTCTAACAGGTGCAATAATATAGAGATATATTCTATCTAATAGTCGGAAACAGTGAGTTCTTTTACTTTCAATAATTGAGTAAATTACTACTACCACACTACACTGCGTATTACTGCATTTTTACGTTGTGATACTGTTACAACTTCTTTCTTTCCTCCTGTGTGTAAAATGTCTGCAGCAATTAACAAGTTCCTAACAATAAAATTACTCCTGAGACTTGGTGAAAATGGGATTCTGGGTAATTATATAACTCAAATTCAGATGGTTGTGTCTCTAAATCACAATATACCAACCTGTAGCCTTAAAAACATTCTAAAAATATTTTTAAATTCAGGAAAGAGAGATAATTTCTACATTTACATAAACTTTATTAAACACAGTTAATGTTTGTGTTGTTTCCTCAAATGCTGCACATAACCCACATAACCCACATATTTCATAAACATATTTCATAAGATGAAAATACTAAATACTAATATATATGTGAATCTTCTCTTGCACGACAAAAACGTCATTTGTCAATAATGGATCAATAAAAACTATCAGTTATTTGTTGTGACAGTCCCGTGCAGCGTGTACCTGCAGGAGGTGGCTCTTCTCCGCGTAACCTTTGACAAACAACCAGTACAGAGTGGTGGACATACTGGGCCCGGGCAGGTCATCGATGCCTTTGAGCCTTCCCGTCTCAGTCGTCGTCTGGACGCTCAGGTTTCTTCTGGGTGCGGACGCTCCGGGTCGGAGCTCCGGACCGGTCCGGGCCTCCGACACTGTCCGAGCGCAGAGGGCAGAGAGGGACCGGGCAGCTGCTGCCGGGGAGGCCATGCTGGACACAGTGTGAAGGCAGCGAATGTGTTAGTGAAGTTTGTTCAGTACGACTCCTTTTATGGTGTTCATCTCCCTACAGCCAGTTCTCGGTACTGCAGGAACTGTTCGTATTAAATACTTGAGAGATTCATTTATTCTCGTATAATTAAGATTTTCTTGACAGTCCTTAATGCAACTATTGTGTCTTTGAATAGAGAGAATAAAGACAATAAAGTGACGTAACAACAAAATATAAAATACCTGCTTTAACCTGCTTTTACTCTTCAAACCTGCAGCTAAATCCACTGAAAGTTTCTGTATGATTTTGATCTTTCAGATGAATTAGTGGCGTCGTGCTGACATCTAGTGGTCAGTCAGGGTCACTGCAGTGTCAGGGTTGCTGACAGCAGTTCTTATTTTCACCCCTTTTGCCCACATTGAATCCTTAATTGTGTTCAGATAAATTAATTAATTGATTAGACAGAAAATTAACTCATAATTGTGATATTTGTTTGATCATTTAAGTCATTTTTTTATATTTAACACCATGATTCAATATCACAGAGGTTTTTCTGATCTGAGACAAGAGTCTGAGGCACATTTGTGATTTGGGCGATATAAATAAAATGGACTTGAATTCAGATGCTGTCCAATCACAGCAGCCCGTCTGTTGGCGGCATGAAGTAGTCCTTCCGTCTTTCCGCAGCTGGTATATGACTCTCAAAAATGACTTTAGAGAAAGTGCTGCATCCCGTCCTGTACTTACTGCTGAGGGATCGGAAGGACTCTCCTGCAGGAAAAAAGGAAGTAAACTATAAACAGACGAAGGCCTCAGACAACAATGTACGTGTATTATGTGTATTAGTACATATTTACCTGTTGCCAGAAACCTCAGGGTCAAAGACAGCCTGTCTTTTGCAGGAATAGCTTTTCGTAGTTTGGTGTCCTGTCTGGCAAGTCATGGCCCAACTCTCCTCAGCAAAATGTCCAATTCTTCTGGAGTCATCTTCACAAAGTTTAAAAAGTCATCTCAGCTGTCATCGACCTGCAGAGACAGAATAAAATACAAAACACATAATGAGTTGCATGAAAAACTGACTTCATTCAATGAGACTTTACACTCTGGCTTAAAATGTTGTCATCAAACTTGAAACTTGCACAGTTTTAATAATTTAAAGAAAGCTGAGTTGAGGGTTGCATGGTACATTCAGTTCAAACTGATGTATAATTTAGGCCTACACAACTGAATGCTCTGCTGTAAAAATCTGTTGCGTTTGAGGCCACAAAGGAAGAAGGGGAAATCTGCACACTCTTTAAACTGTACTTTAGAGTACTGGTGAAATAAGTGTTCAGCTTTCCCGTCTTTTCTTTAGGTGTATATTTTCTTTACTTTCTTCATTTAATTTAAACCACAAGGCTGGAATTTTTTCTTTTCATCATAGTTAATAAAAAAAAAAAGCAGAATATTAAAATCAGTCTGTCGTTTTTACTGGAGGAAAAAATCATTTTAATTAATTTAGGTAGGGTTTTTTTTTAATTTCTTACAGAATTCAGGTTTAATTAATTAAACACCTGCTACAATTAGTTTGTTAGCAAATGGCATTATAACAACGTAGTTAAAGAGACTAGTGTGAATGCGTCACCGAAAGAACCGTTAGCTTCCATCCAAACGAACCGGCCGCCATCTTTGACCATCCCATCATTGTAAAACCTCAATATCTAATGTTTTTGTCACTTCTACACACAGTGTGTTCAATTAAACTACCACGACCGTTAAAACAAACTCATGCTAACACATAGCAGAGTTAGCATTAGCACCCCCCACCACACACACACACACACACACACACACACACACACACACACACACACCTTTAAATCCGGAGGGAGACTGCTGCACGTCGGCCAGTTTCTCTTCAAAATGCGTCTTTTTTCGGGTGTTTTCTCTAGAAGAAGCACCGCCGCACAGGCAACGGCACGGAGCAGCTTTCGCCGGCGCTCCATGCTTTGTTTTCTGCCAAAAGTAATGCTGAAATGCCGCGGCAAGAGGTATCGATCCGCGTCGTCTTTTCAGTCTGATTCGACAGTTTTATTTTGGAGGTCTTCACCGGAAGCGTTAGTATGTTATTATGTCTACCACTACACATAAACCTACACAATATATCTTTCTATACTTTACAGTGGTAAAACTATATTACCGTCAGTCTGCTTTCATTGAGAGTATTTATTTATATTATGATTTAAATTTTTAACAAATGTCTGGATGTTTGTTATGGAAACCTATTTCCACCTATTAAAGGAAAAAATCGTAAAAACGTAGCCTTGATTAAAAAATAAAATCATGTTAAATCAAAAGTATGAGAATAAGAGTAAAAATTATGAGACAGAATGAGATAAAAAGTAGAAATTATGAGTTAAAAAGTCAGAATTATGGAATAGAAAGTCAAATCTTGTGATAGAAATCTAAATTATAAGATAAAGTCGAAACAAGAGTAATACTATTATTACTCTATCCGTAGATACACATTTTCTGGATCTAATTTGGCTTTCCATTAACAACATTAACAGGCAAAAATCTGAAAATACATTTCAAGCAGAGGCTGTTTCTATGAAACAACGGTCACTCAGATGTGAAATAAATATCTTTTATTGTTTTCATCGTCATAGTCATAATTGTTGTAATTATGAACACAGAGCTGTGGCAATACTCCAGAATTTTGCCAAAAAACAGCAACCATTCAACGGCACTGCTGCGTCTCTCAGGACCCAACCATGCAACCATACAATCTCCCATTTAAAAAAAAGGTAAAATAAAAAATATATATTAAAAAATTATGCGTACCACTGATATACAGATCTGATATAAACAGGCGTATTGGTCACAAACCAATTAGAATTATAAACATGGCTTCTTTTACAATACACAGAGACCAAACATGTGGGATATAAGTGTACTTTTCTTTAAAAAAAAAAAAAAAAAAAAAAAGGGTACATTTTCATTTTATACATTTGTACATGATTTTTTTTAAATTTCATTTTCATTATTATTTTAATGTTCTCACCCCCTACAGTCAGAATGCTCAAGGCATTTCAGGCGCAGTGTCCAATGAGCACAAATTGCAGTAAATGCACGTTTACAAACTCGCGCACACACACACACACACACACACACACACACACACACATACAAATTACACACACACACTCACACTCACACACATCCAGGAGTGGCAGCAGTGGCTTTAGACACTAAAGAGAGAACTACAGGTGTATCTTGGCGTCTGCAGGTGGCAAATACTGGTACCAAAGAGTTTAATCCACTGTGGTGAACGAGGCCATCTGACGGTAGAAATGAGACAATACATTCATGTACAGGTCATCGCTAACTGAACCCTCAACACACACACACACACACACACACACACACCCGCTCACATTCACACTTGTGTAAAAATAAAGAATAGTCTTTAAAATGTGCAAAGAAAAGGTCGCTGAACCGAGCTGCACGAGCGACAGCTGACGAGGAATCGTGAAAAAGCATCAGTGAATAATCGATAGTGCATAATGGTAGTGCGTATCAAGGTTTACCAGTGCTGGCGGCGTTTTACAACTGAATCTCCATCTGTACCAGACAGTTTACTGTACGCCGCCTCCAACTCAATACAGGAGGCTGATTTGCAAATACTCTACAATGACTTCTTCTTCTCTGGAGCTTTGTTTGTTTGGTACCGTTTGGAAAATGCATAACGTGAGTGAAGGAGGAGTTTGTTTCCACAACCTGTGCGGAGCTACCGGCTGATGACAGACACACAACCACAGAGCGACAGACGGTCTGAATCTTTCAGACCAGTATAAGTGCCTTCAGGGAAAATCACAACCTGTGGTTAGCAGCTCTGAGTCACCCTGGCTTTGACTTCCTGGATGATTCAAGGCGAGGAGAAGCAGCTGTTGAACAGGTGCGATCAGTAAAACACGGCTCTTTAGTAACACCTGGTGGACACTGCAGGAAATTACAACAACATCTGCAGATACATGTCGTCCTCGCAAGTTTTCGTACCAAATATATCACAGCTACATGTCATTTCTTTACTGATCAGTACCAAAAACATCCGCCTGCCTATCCACCAACATCGAACTTCATACTGGAAAGTAAACTAATGAAATGAGGTGGTGTCACTGGAGCAGTAGAAGAAGAAGTTATGGGCTGACACTGTTTAAACGTGCAGCTTCACCACTAAGTCTGCTTCATGTTCTCAGGTCTCCAAACACTCAACCAGCTGCAGTGCATTGTGGGAAGTCAAGGAGGAGTTTGACATGTTACCAACTTGTTTCAAAAATAATAAGAACAAATAAAGTCACTGAAACGACACACAGGGACATTTTAGAGCTAATGTGTAAAGAGCCGGTAAAATATTACTGCGAGCTCATCTGTCTTAGACACTGTGTGTAAATCTCTACGTCACTGCAGCTCCGCCCACAACCAACACACACACTGACACCTACACACACACCGAGACTCTGATTACTCTGTCTGACTAACGTTTAAGGGTCTGTCTTCTGCGAAGGGATCGAGGTCTGACATGAAGCCGGGTGAGGGCTGAACTCGTCTGTGGTGAACGTGTAAGAGGTGGGACATTTAACCAGCTAGCATGTTGATTGGTTGTTGGCAGAGCTGACCCAAAAAAGATCACTCCTCCTGGTCATCATCAGCCGAGGGGTCGCTGGTTGCGGAGAACTCATTTAAAGCTGCAGTCTGGTGTTACTGGTGCATAGTTGTGGAGCCAACGCCATGAACAACCTCTATGGATCGGTCGTATTCAACACAACGACGTGAGTGAAGCTCGGTCCCGAGAGGAAGCGGAGGCGGCGGCGGCGGCGGCAACAGCTGCGGCGCTCGTTTGTGGTTCGGCTAAAGTGACGAGTTGACGTTCTGATACAGAAGCTGCAGCGCCGCCTGTTGTTCAGGAGTGAAGCTCTGTGGGAAACTGTAAACGACACCGTGGAGAGCGGGTCTGTTCTGTGGGAGTGCATGTGAGGCCAAAAACACAAACAATACAAACATAACCACATGTGACACAATGAGAGTGCTCTGATATGGCACAGTGATGGAGGACAGGAAGGGACCGGCTGCAGCAGCGGACCATGAAGAGACAGTTAACTGGATATGTACCTGTAGGTTCAACGACGAGCAGCTCGTGAGGCGTTTGGAAACGTCCGGGCTTACGGCTCCACATGTCGGACAACAGCGGGACAGCGTCATACAGCCAGACCTCTGGCCAATCAGCTGCGAGACTCTCGCCTTGATCAACGCTCTTCAAATGCTCCTCTTTAGTTTCAGTGCTTCTCGTGGTCTGAAGTGGTCGACAGGAAGTTTCTTCGCCACCAAAGAGCCATATTCTGAGTTTCCTCATGTAAATAACAGATCTGATGCAACTGACCGTTAATCTCACCGTCAGTTCATCCCACCATTATTTTCTAAAATGATAAATTCATTGTTTCGTCTATAAACTGCTTCTGCAGAGCGACCTGACTATATCTCATATCAAACTGTATTAAACACAGGATTTTAAATGAAATATTCTTAAATATTCTGCTCACCAGGCGGCTGCTAACTGATGTAGCAGCTGCACGAAACCAGTGACGTACCGGTAAAAGTCAGGATCTAACGGCCATGAACTGACTTTGAATCCACAAGAGTCCAACCAATCAGACCACTCAACACTTTGAGAAGCAGAGGAGACAAAAGGTGCATTCGAGAAATCAACACGTCTGGATTCTGTGAAGCAGGAGTTCCAGTCCCTGTCGGAGAACCGGTCGGGAGGTGAAACCTGTTTTTCAAACAAAAAGTCTGAAGCGTATTTTGTTACCAGGCAAACGAACCGAGTGAGCCGAGCTGAGGCGGGACCCCATCTCAACAGCAGGAGAGTCTGTGTTACAGAAAAAGGCAGAAACGGACGTTGCGGCTGAACTGGGATCAGCTGGATTCGGGCTAAACGGTGCAAAAGGCAGTTTATCCAGGAGGAGAAAAAAAAAAAACGACACTCAGAACGACTGCGACTAAGAACGACAGAGATTATCCACAAACTCACTGCGTTTCAAAACAGAAAAGGCACACGGCAAAGAACGAAGAGGGGGAGGGAGGAGAGGGAGAGGGAGGAGGGGGGGGGTTACAGACAGTAAAGCAGAGGCAAAGCATTTCATCTGAGACCAGAGGGTGAGTGGAAACTGTTGGTGGGGAGTGTTCTCTATAGCAGCGGGCCCAGGTCCTCACCATCGCTCTGGGTTTTGGCAGGAGACTACATTCTGGGGTCGGGTCAGCGAGATGGGGGGGAGAGGGGGGGCGGGGGGCAGAGCCATTGAGAGTCAGGCGTCACCTCCTGTAGGTCCACAACACCGACACTATCCCACTCCAAGACGTTTGAAGAGAGGAACCGTACAAACATAAAAAAGGAGACGTTTTCAAATAGTCGTTTTTCGTCGCTTCAGGAGGAAGTGCTCCGTCCCTCCGTTTCTCACAAATTAAGGTGCAACTTGCGGAGAAAAATAAAATAAAAACTCATGTCCTCTATGGCAGTCTCATACAAACAGAGACAGGAGGAGCAGGTACGCGCCACCCCACGCCTACACGCCCCACCTTGTTCCAGCCAGTCCTTCCTGGTCTGATGTGGTTTCAGCTCGGAGGTGGAGGGGGCGGGGTCAGAGGCGGGGACGCCCCATCGGGTAAGGCCGTATCTGGCAGTTCGGCAGGCGGGCGGGGGTTTAAAGGTTCAGGGGTGGGGTTAATGTACAAAGATGTGCCTCAGTAGCTCATCAGCAGACGGCCGCTGCTTGGTCTCTACAAAGATCCGTTTGAGAAACTCTCGGCAGTGGTCCGACACGTGGGCGGGGAGAACCGGGTTAGTGGGCTGGGTGGCGATCTTAAAGATGGCTGCCATGGCCTCAAACTCCGCCCAGGGGGGTCGTTGGGTCAGCATCTCCACCACGGTGCAGCCAACGCTCCTGAGGGCGAAGGGACAGGTGTTAAACTCAGGATCAAACACACAGTTCTTCTTCCAGCTGGAGTGAGAGTTTCCTCCCACGTCTTTTACCTCTAACATCATGAAATAACTAGAATTACCGCCTCACACTCAGTTTAATAAACTATGAACCGTGTGTGAAATTCTGTTGAAATTTTGTTGTGAAGTCTTGAGTAATGGCTAAAAAGTGTTTTCTGATGTCACAGTGACCTTGACCTTTGACCTTTAGCCACCAAAATCACACATCAAAATCGAATCAGTCTGTCGTTGTCTCCACGTGGATGTATGAGCCAAATCTGAAGAAGTTCCCTCAAAGCGTTACTGAGATATTGTGTCAACGAGAATGAGACGGACGGAGAACCTGAAAACAATATGGCTGCCGCTGAGTGTCGCCGGCACAACAGGGCGCCTGAGCTCTCACCAGATGTCGGCCTTCCTGCCGTAGCCCTCTCCACTGATCACCTCCGGGCTCATCCAGTAGGGGGTGCCGGTCACCGACTTGATGCCTGTTCCTGACAGACAGATGGTCTGCAGCCGCCGACTGGCGCCGAAGTCTCCCAGCTTCACGTTACCCACCGAGTCACGAAGGATGTTGGCTCCTGAACAGAGACGAGACCGAGTTTATCAACCTGCTTCTGTTCTTGTGAATTTTGAGGTGAACCACAGACGGTCCGGCTCACCTTTGATGTCCCTGTGGACGATCATGTTGCTGTGCAGGTAGGACACGCCCTCCAGGATCTGCCGGGTGTAGCGGCGCGTCACGTTTTCCGTCAGCGCTCCGTACGACTTCAGCTGGTCTTTAATGGAGCCCTGAGCAGCACGACAGACGACAGACGACAGACAGACATTTAACATGTTTTTATCAGGTTTTACTGGATTTTATTGTCGTCTTATTCGTTTCTATTTGATTCATTCACCTTGTTTTAACTCTGTAAAATCCCACACCTTTAAAAGCAAACTCAAGCCCTTCCTTTTTATGGAAGGTTAGTTATTTGTCTTTAGCCTTTACATCACCGTGTAGAGTAAACGTGTGGACGTGTGAACGAACACTCACGCCGGGCATGTACTCCATGAAGATGGAGAGCGTCCGCTCCATGGTGTCCCGCAGACAGCCGTAGTACTGGACGATCCGCTCGTGGCACAAGTTCTTCAGAAGCTGGATTTCACACTCCAACGCGCTCACCTCCTGAATAAAGACGAACACAGGACAAACCGTCGTCTCTGTTGTTTCCCAGCCGCCGTCCACCCTGAACCAGATAAACACCGTCTGAGTTATCCTCACCTTGCTGGTCTCCGGACTCTCCGGGTCAAACTGGACCTGTTTGACCGCCAGTTCCCGCCCAGTATCGGCGTCATAACAGAGGAAAACCCGCCCGAAGGCTCCCTGACCCAGAAGCTTCCCCAGCCGCCAGTTGGTTGGAGCTCGTGGAGCTGGAGGCGAAACGACACGAGCGATTAAATCACAGGAAAGAAACATGGGAGAGATTCTTTCTGCGGCTGTTTCACGGAGACTCACAGCGGCTGGGCGGACTGATGTCCATGACAGAGAGGGTGGGAGCGGCCGTCGGATTGGGGTTGGGCTCGATGTCGCTGCCCCTCCGCGGCCTCCTGGCGGGTCCCGGGGCCTCCTCCAGGTCGGGGGTGAAGACGCTGCTGCCGCTGCTGGTGCTGGGCGACTGCTCGGTCGGGCTGAAGCTGACCGGCGAGCGGAAGCCGTGAACCTGCGTTCGCCGAGCCCGAGGGAAGGTCTTCCTCCCTGCCGCGCGGAGGAAGAGGAGGAGAAGCAGGAACGGTGAGGAAGATGAATCATGAAGAAACAATATAATTATTTAATATTTAAAACGTCGCCCACCATCGCTGTAGTCTTGAAGGCCGAAGGGAATACCGTATCGCCGAGGATACGTTCCCCCTTTCCCCGACTTCTCGAACACTGGGATGTCGTACTCTGACAAGACAAGAGTTCAATCAGTCTGTCTGTATCTCTCTCTCACACACACACACACACACACACACACACACACACACACACACACACACACACACCTGGGAAGTCCTGGTGGTTGTCTGGGTAGCTCTGTGCTCTGGGCATCCTGGACTTCGGGTAGTCGCTGCATGAAGACAAACAACACCTGAACCTTTATTTCATGTTGTCCGTGTTGCGTCACCTGTCACCTGTCACCTGTCACCTGTCACCTGTCACCTGTCATCTGTCACCTGTCACCTGTCACCTGTCACCTGTCCACACTTCATGTTTACACCTGGTGTGTTTAGACTAAGAGTATCTGCAGGTATTAAATATTAAATGAGTCTGTTGTGCGGTTAGAAGAACGCGGTGCTCACCTGTCCAGTGGACTGTCTAAAGAGGGACAACTTCCCGACGCCGAGTTCTCCGGACTGCTCATGGACAGTGGGTCCAACATCTGAAGGAGACAAAGACGCTCAGACAGAGAAGCTCACACACACCGTCACGGCCAAAATCATATTGATCTGTTATTAGATAACTAGTATTGGTAATTGCTGGTACCTGGTCCATGCTCTCGGGGATGAACTCCCCCTCGCTGTTGATGCTGGTGAAGGAGCCGTTCCTCGCCACCTGCTGGAGAGCGTCGGGAATGTATCCTGGAGGAGGAGAGCTGCGGTCCGTCGAATGGGAACCTGAGGTTTGGAGGACAGAGGGAAACATTGTCATTTAAGATATTTGCTTTATTATTATTATATCTGCTGGATCGGTGGCAAAACAACAACATGAATTGTGAGTTTGATAATTGATTTGATTGTGAGTTGGTGTATCCACCTATCAAAGCCAGCATGCTCTTCTTGTCAGCGACCCTGAATCCCGTGTTGTCCAGCTCCTCGTGGGACGGCAAGAGGTCCATACTGGAGGAAGAGTTCTGCAGAAACAAGAGGAACAAAGCCGGCTGTTAACAGACGAAACCCAGCGACTCATAACAAGACTTAAAAATAAAAAAGAGTCAAAACTGTTTTGAATTAGTTGCTGCTGTTAAACAAGTCGAATAGAAATACTTAAGACAGAAGTAGAAATACTGGGAACTAAGACTGGTCTCCTCCAGTCGTCAGTGTCTCTGTCAAAGTGTCAACAACATGTGTGTCTGTCCTGATGCTGGAGAGACGGTGGGAGCTGCTGACCTGAGAGGACATCTGCAGCACCAGCAGGATCTTCAGGCTCTTCATGTGAACGCTGCGATCCAGCAGCTCCACGGCCTTGTCCAGGTCGTCCTGAGTCGTCAGTGGAATCACCAACTGCAGGAAGAAAAAACAACAACTTTCTTTGAATATTTCATTCAACAGCAGCATTAAAACTGTAGTTTTTCCAGCCTGTGAAGCTCCGCACCTCATTGTTGGTGTAGTGAAGGTCCATCGTCTGACCGAAAGCCACTTTAGCTTTTGACCTCAGGTCGTCCAGCTTGACGGGTCGAGGGAACTGCAGGATCCTATGAGGAAGAAGAGAGGTCAGAGGTCGGGAGGGAACAGCTGCTGGTCCACACTGCTGACAGTAAAGTCATGCACCTGGACGAAGACTCACCTCTTCTCCCCTTTGAACTCGAACTTCACTCTGACGTCGTTCTGTGGAGAAGTCACGGAAAATTCAGCAGAGGACAAAGAATAAAGAAATGTGATGAATGAACAGTGACAGAGGACGACACAGAGCAGCGGCTTCTGACCGACCACTGTTCATCTGATTCTAATTTCATTTGGGACATTTGATGGAAAATTACATTAACATTTTTATCATATCTTATAATAAAAACCATCAAGAAATTAGAAAGAATTTCTCCATCAAGAAATTATTAAAACCAGTGTCCCCAGTTGGAGTCCCGGCTGGCTGGACTATTTGCTGCATGTCTTTCCCCTACTCTCTCTCTCTCTCTCTCTCTCTCTCTCTGCATTTCCTGTCGGTCTTTATCAAATAAAGGCACAAAATGGCCAAAAAACAAAACTAAATAGTGGCAGTTAAGTAAAGAAAGAACCAGTGCGTTTTACTGGAAGAGGCTTTCTCAGTTTCTAAACTGGTCTCTTTGTCTGTGTGAACTTTTTCCAGTTTCACATTAAAAGCCCCAGCTTCCCTGAAAGGCTCTTACTGTGAAATCTCACTGTCATATATAAGCACACTGTAATGAGTCAGAGTCACGGCTCTGGTAAAGATAAGAGACTTTATGTTCTTGTTTTGTCACCTGGTTCTTGGGCGAGGAGGCTTTGGGTTTGCCCAGGTCCGACAGGAACATGGCAGGACGGCTGGAGCGGTGCAGTTCGGCCAAGTCCTGCATGATCGAGTTCAGCGCCTCCTGCTCATCTGAGGGACAACAAGCAGATTTTAAAAGATAAAGACTGATAAAAGCAAAACTGGGCTGACATTATTGTGAATTAACAAAATCCAGGTCAGATATAAATGTTTAAATGACAATTACAGGTAAAAAAGAGCACAACTATAGGAACATGTTATTTACCTGCAGATAACACAGAGGTTTACTGTGAGCTAATGATGTCAAAGACACATTGTTCAGTGAGGAAAAAAACATTCCTTGGTTTGTAAGTTTAACAAAAGACAAAGTTGGCTTTCTGCCAAACAGTAACGCTGTCTTAACACACACACACACACACACACATACCCATCATCGTGGCACGGCGATTGACCCAGGAGGCCGGGAAAGAGGATTCTCCCATCAAAGGGATTCCTTTCTCCTGCAACAGCAAAAGCACAACATGAATCCTGACGTGCAGCTGATCGGGACACAAGTTCCAGCCTGAAGCTGCCGACTGATCAGTTGATCTGATCTCGTCCACAGGGGTGAGATGTGTGTGTGTGTGTGTGTGTGTGTGTGTGTGAGTGTGTGTGTGTAGGGAGGGGGGGTAATGATAACAACAACTGAATATATTTTTATCACAGTTAAGTTGTGCAGCTGGTGTCATCACTGTGACGACGGTGCCGTCCTGCGTCTCAGATATAAATCTGTCACGACACTGACTGAAAGCTAACAGTGTTTGCCTTGTTGTTGTTGTGTATAAACAAAACTCTGCATCAAATTTCACGAGTACAGTCTGTTGAATTTATCCAGGAACATTTTGAATTAGAAAATACTGCAGTTTGAAGGGAGACAGGGTGAATTTATCACTCGTCGTTACCATTTACACCATGGTATCTGTCACTTTAATGTTTCTAGTTGGTGAAAACGATTTATGGCTTTTAATATGATCTTTGCATCAGTGTTGTGATTTGTCAGGCAGCCAAAAACAGGCATTTCTTCTCTGGTTAACTTTTCTATTCACACTTTCTCAACGGATTTTACAGAAAATGTCTTCTACCACGATACACTCAGTTGTTTATTAAATCCATGGAGTTAAAAATACATCTGACACACAAGCCTGTAATAAATCCTGTCTTCAAGAAGATTCCAACATTTTGTCCAAACCGTTCATACAAATAACGTTGGACAGTTAGACACAGCAAAGTGTTCCTAATAAACTGGAGTATTTATTCCAATAATGCAACATATCCTGTGACAGAGGATTGTGACAACATCAGTGAAGAAAAAGTAATTTGACTTTTTACTGTATTGTAAAAACAAACTTTAAAAAGTAAGAAAACACTAAAACTAAAAGTCCTGCCTTAAAAGGGACAAAAGGACTTTCAGACAAATGCACTAACGGTATAAAAACTAAATGTATTTACGTAGAATTGCATCCTTCAGAGTATTATTCCCTACTCCAGTTCCTATATTGTATTACTAGAGTATTATTGGTGCAATAATGTGCAATAATTTAAACCACTTGATGAAGTAATGGGCAGTGTCATTTATACAAACATTCCATATAATGATCATGTTTTTCCAGGTTAAGTCTTAATCTGCAAAGTCATTACTGGTTAAGCCAGTAATGACTATCATCACTTTTTAATAACAATTGATGATTATCTTAAACAAATATGTGTTTAGTATGTGAAAGGTAAAAAAATCCCCAGTGCCGAATGTGACAGAAAGTCCAAATATGCAAAAATATTTTGTTTACAATGATGTATGTCAAAGAAAAGCCGACAAGTAGCAGAGAATATTTGGCATTGTTTCACTATTTGTGTCTGAAAATGAACTGAAGCGATTAATCGGTTATTAAAGTATCTGCATATCATCTTTCTGATGATCGACTTATCAATTAATCAGCTTCTAAAATGGAGTAAACATTACAATACTTCCCTGGGAAGTGTGGTGAGGCAGAAGTATAGAGCACATTTAATGTAATAATAAAAGCAATACAGGAATTAATTAATAGTTGCAGCCATTCCTATAACATATTGATATATTCCCTGGCATTCCCTCTACACTCATCACCAGTTGTCATGATATTATAGTAAAGTGTTAGTTACTGGTGTGAAGTCGTGATGATACCATACAACACTACAGACAGAGGCTCTGCACCAGACTGTGTGCAGTGAGTCTGGAAATTAAAGTGTGGACAGTCAAGATGGCCTCTGCTGATCAGGAGCTGATTGGATATCGCTGATCAGAGTCTGATCATCACTGATCGATCACTGTCTGCGAGTGACGTAAAATCTGACTACTCCATCACGCTGGTGAGAGTGGGCTGCAACATCAACATTAGCTTAGCACTTTACAATCGGCAAACATACATCGTCCTTTTCAAATCACTGTGCTGAGCTGATCACGGCAAAGTTGATACCAACAACACTGCCACTGTTATGGCCTCCTTTAGTAGATAATTAGCTTTAAATTAACTTGCTAGCGTTAGCTGAGTAGCTCCATAAGCTAAAATTGACTAACAACTGTTGCTAGCCAATCTGGCATTACGTGCCACGGCCAAAATGTGCTTAATGAATGATGTGGCATCTTGAAATATAACCAAAACACAGTCAGCTGCACATACATAGCTGATACGGGAAGCTAAGTGGCTAACGCCAGCCGAAGAGTTCCGTGTACAGCTAGCTGTCAGGCCAGGGAAGTTGACAAGCTAAGCTAATGCTAATTCAAAGCTCTCCCGCAATGCATGGCCGTAAAAAGCAACCATCAAACGGACAAATGTCAGGTCTGAACCGAACTGTTTCACCTCTATCATCTCACCTGGGGGTCTGATTAGATTGCTTCTCACGTCCTCATCCACAGGGCCGGTGACAGGAGCCCCGGGCCCTGCGGAGAGCCGCTGGAGGAAGCAGAAGTTTGGTAGTCCGCTCTCAACTTCACTCGAGTCCTGCTGGGCCGCGACGACGAGGCCCGACGGCTGTCAGCTGAGCCCGGCGGATGTCTTCAGGCAGAAAAATGACAAGATAACAGCTTATCCGAGAAAGTATCCTCGTGTCTGCACGGCAATGAAAAGGCAAAGTCAATGGACAGCTTTCATTTTGTTGCACTTTACACACTCGTTGACGGTAGCTTCGTTCGCTGTTGCCCCCACAGCTGCGTCAAGTTAACAGTCGATGGACAAAGGGCTACCGGAAGTGTCGAGATTTTGCTGAGAAAATAAAAGCACAATGTGTCTCGCGAAGGGAAAACCATAAATACATATTTCGTACTTTATGTTGACAGTTATTAACCGGAAATGTGTTTTTTTCACTTTGGCAAACTTGACAGTCTCCAAGTCTCGTTGGGGGGAGTCACACAGAAACACAACTTTCCATGTCATAGAAATCATATTTAACATTAAAGTACCTAAACATCATGTCAAAAACGTTTGTACACACAGGAATAAAATGGGCCTATATTTTTTAATAATTATCTAGATATATAGTGGGTGATCATACCTGTAATTTAAGTGGTCAGAACATAATGGCTGTATTTTATGCACTTTGAAATAGTACCACATACTTTGCAGTCAGCATCCCTTTAAATTATACCCAACATGGCCGTAAAGGAGTAGCTTTACGAACAGATAAAAAATTCCCAGTGTATGACAGGGAAGTTATACAAATATAAAGTATATAAAAATTTGATAATGAATTGATACTATGATGCCAAATTTAAAAGAATATACATTTCCCTTTAGACAATATTGATTAATTGCTTGATTTTTTCATTTTATGACAGTTAAAGACGGTTATGTGCAGAAGACCACAGTGCTTTCATCTTATTTTGAAAGCATTTCGAATGTGTCGTCCCGTCCGGTCGATGTCGAATTCTCACAACATCAGGCTAAAGCTGCGACTGGAAGCTAAAGCTAACGCCGTTCTCGGATCATTTTTCACAACACACACAGAGGCAGAAACATGTCAGACACGGTGAGATATAAACCTCACAGAGTCTTTCATTGTCTGAAATGAAACGAAAAGAAAAAAGGGGCAAATTAGTGTTTTTGTGGCTGTTGCCTCGTATGTGATTATCTAACATGCTAACTGTTAGCTCATGTAGCTGCAGGCCCAGAGCTCACTGCTTATTTTGCTGCTTAGCTTAGCGGCTAGCTTCGGTTTCAGTTCATTTTCAAAGTTCTGATACCAAACATTAAGCTTTACCTGCATTTTGAAACCGAAATATACAAATATGTCAACCTTAGTGTTGTTAAAGTCAGTGAAATGAAGCCTGCAGGCCTGTTTACATGTGTAGCTGGCCTTTAAATGTTTTGTGTTTTGCTTATTTATTGTCTTTTTAGGAGACAAAACCATCCAGCCAAGACGGCGGGGATAAGAAGGACGGAGAGTACATCAAATTGAAAGTGATCGGTCAGGTGGGTAGAAATGCAGGTGTGATGGATGGGACTCACTGAGCTCAACATAGGAATATGCAGCTTTGGACAGTAGTTGATCATCAACAAATAGGACTGAGTGAAGAAACTTAATCGAGAGTTTTCTGCTGCATGAGACACTTGTGAGATAAATGCTACATGTAGCCTGTAGTTACTTGTTTATAAAGATCCACCAATATGGAATATCAGGGTTGATGAAAATAACAGTTGTGGTATATACCATGATATAACTAATAATACTATTCTCACAATATGTTTATATTTTGTGTTTTTTCACTTACCTTCTTGTGTGTGTTTCTGCTGCTTCTCATCATCACTGTTTCCTTCCGCCCACAGGACAGCAGTGAAATCCACTTTAAGGTGAAAATGACGACACATCTAAAAAAGCTGAAGGAGTCTTACAGCCAGAGACAGGTATGAGGATAGAGGAAGTCTGAGCTTTTTGTAGATGTTCAACTCCAGCAGCACCAGAGGCCGTTATTTCATACCGCTTTGCGTTGGTGTGTTTCTTCCAGGGCGTCCCAGCGAGCACGCTAAGGTTTCTGTTTGAAGGACAGAGAATCGCAGATAACCAAACTCCGAAAGAGGTAAACTTGTCTCTCTTGTCTTGAGCATCCCTTTGTCTGAACTGTCCAACATCTTCATCTGGATTACTCTGCTCTATTTTATGATCATGACTAGGAGTGATGAGAACTGAAGGACATTTATTCTGTTGCTAATGTATGTCTCTCCTGTCTCTGCTGTGTGTTCATGTCAGCTGGGGATGGAGGACGAGGACGTCATCGAGGTTTATCAAGAACAGACCGGCGGACTTCGGAACGATTAAACCTCCTGCATTTCTAAATCTTTTTTTTCTCTTATTTTGTATTTTATTTTGTATGTATGTACGTATTTTTGTTCAGTTTCAAACCATCTGGATCAAAACCGACTCTATCAGGGCTTCCATGTGTGTGAGGGCGGGAAGGTGAACGGACTGAGGTAAGGACGAGGAAAAGGACAGTGGGTCTGCGGTACTCTGAAGTGCAGGGATGTTCATGTTGTTGACTCGAGCAATAGCATTCAATCACATATTTTTGTTTTTTATCCCATTTTCTTTTCGGGAGTCAGCAGAAGCAAATAACTCTGTCAAGGAACAAGCTGCATTAAAGGAATAGTTCACCCAACAGGAAAATGTTGTCATCATCTTCACATATGTATGAACATTTCAAGACAAGATCAGTTGTCAATGGAGCTTTGCTTCACTTTCCTCTAAAGGAAACTAATGTTTTCATGAAACTCCTGATAATTTCAGTGTTTGGAAACCAAGCAGTTTCACTAAGGGTCCAAAAGGTTCAGTATTTACTCGTTTAACAAATAGACTTTTAGAAGTTGTTGTGCACTACAGCGGAAAGCAGACACTTGTGTTTTGAAATATAATGTAATTTAAGCATCCATTTTAAAGAGCAAAATTTAGCAGTTACATGATGCTGAGGAAGTCGAGACGTGTTGATATCCACTTGTATGATTTTTAGGTCCCCGACATTAAGCATCTGTGTGCCACGTGGTTTTAAAGTGGATGTCAGGAGAAATTAGATGTTGATAATGTTATGTCTTGATGCAAATATTTGACTATTGAAGAAGCTGCCTGACAATAAAACAAGTTTGAGGAAACTGAAACAAAGCTGCATCAGCTGAGCAGACAGCGTCTCAAATACATTTTCTGGATGCACTATTCCTTTAAGTCTGTCTGAGGTGAGCAGCCATTAAAACTGGCTTCATCCTCCTTTTCATTCGTACAAAAATAAGTCGCTTGCACACCTGTTGTTTTTCCCGAGGAGATGTGACGAGGAGTTTGACACCAAGTTAGACGCGAAAGATGCAGTTGTTTGTACACGAGGCAGTTCACTCCAGATGTTTTCTGTAATTACATTCAGGGCATTGAGCAGACAGTGTGTGCTGATAAACAGCTGGATTACTGGACAGTCAGTCTCTCTGTAACTCATCCTCAAAACCACTTGTTATGAAATTTAGTTCCTGTAGATCTGAGTCATTTTCATTTACAGCCTGTGTTTGAAGGACTGCACCATAATCAAATTGTAAAATTCTGGTAATAATTGACCTGATATGATAATATTTGAGATTTGAAACATTTTTCTAAATGATAATTGTGCTTTACTTGTATATGTTGTATTCAGTATTAGAGTGTGTTTGAATGATCTACCATATGTATCTCCAGTGTGGTTTTTAATTTATATTGGAGGGTTTCATTCTGTGATTATATATTGAAATATATACCCGTTCTGGAAACATTTTTCTGGCTGACAGTCACAGTGGTTTGACCTCAGATGACTCTGTCCTCCAGCAGCTGGTGCAGACAGACAGTCCGACTGCTCGTCTGTGAACAGTGACATGTTAAACTGTGCTGTCAGCGCTAGTTTTTAAAGCGTTCCTTTTTGTTTTTGGGATGAAATTCTTAATCTGTGTTCTGTATAAAGTTCCTCAAGAAGGTGAAGATCACTCGCAGCCCCGAACTGTGTGTGGATCCCAAAGACAGGTCAACTCCTGAGGGGTGAAAGAACCAGTAACACAGAAAAAACATGTCGATGTCTGTTGACACTCTGGTTGTTTCACTCTTCAGAGATAGTCGAGATGTCAGGTCAGAGCTGCAGTGGATGATGGGTAAACTGCACCTCTGGGACTCATTTGCTTTCAGTGCATACAGCATGTATCCAGAAGCTGTCTCCACTGCCAGACATTACACTCCAAAAGCAAATTAAAAGGAAATAATGATCCTTTTCTAAACGAAGCGAAGCAGCGATTACAGATCATCTAGAAAACGGCCGTCACTCCACAGAGGTGTGTGGAATCAAAACAAACAGGAAAACTGTCACCTCAATTGGATTTTCCCAGCCTGAGCGCCTGTTATCATTTCTCCACCCAACCCCCCCAACCCCCCCTCCCCGGGCAGGAAGGGCTGTGATTTGAGCCATAACACTGATCTCAGCGAGGTGAAGGGACTGTTCATCATTAGAGGAACATTGATACAGATGGTTTGAAATTCTGGAGATGAGCTTTTTGCTTTTTTTGAATAAAATATTTAAGAAAAAACTTCTGTTATCCTTCGTATATTATTAAATAGTATGTTGACTTCCTCTACCTGTAACTCCAGTATTTATTGTAAAGGTTTTAATTATTGGAAATTAGAGGCCCACAACTACAGATAGTATTTATATATGAAGAAAAGGTGAAGAAATTAGACTCTAGATTATTCAGATCAGTCAAATATGTAAAGGTAATTAATGAAACAGTTGGTTTACACAGCATTGTATGTGCAAAGATATTTTAAAAGCATTTCCTTAACAGTAGTTATTCATTTACTCATCATTTTGTCTTATAATAAAACCAGGGATTGTCAGACGCTTCACTGCTGCAGCAACACAGAACCAATGAAGGGCCAGGGATCAAATCTAAGGTGACTAAAAGTGACAGGGTCAAAGGTCAAAGCCCTCTGGAGACAAAGGATAAATAAAGCCTCTTTCTCCTCTGGATGTCATTCATATTCATATATATATATTTTATATTACTGAGATGATGTTTATTTCAGTCCAAATATATTTATATCTATATTTATATAATATCTGCAAACATAAAACAAACAAAATAAGTTGCAGACCTCACTGGTCGTTATCTCAAAGAGGGTAAGAAAGGAAAACTCCACTCTATATAAATCTTCCCTTCATTCCACATGCTGATCATGGTGTGCAACCACAATAACAGACCCCACCCCATGCAACATCAAAACATTAGTTCCTACAGAATATGAAACAGATCTTTTTAAATATTTATTCTTCTTCTTTTATTTATTTATGTTAATTAACAAAAATATTCCTCTATTTAAAAACGTTGATTGTTCTCAAATATTTTAAATGAAATTACTAAATGAACTTAAAAATGTAAAAAAAAAAAAAAAATCGTAAAAAAAGGCAGCGACACAGACTGTTTGGTCATCTAAAGAGGAAGTGGTGACACAAAATAAAAGACCCATTCATTATTTTACAACAAGCACATGTACACAGCTGATCTACAGCAGCAGGTCTGAATGGAACAATGTGCATCAGCTTATGATTCTATATTTGCTTATGTACATCACTGTCGCCACGAAACTACATTTACACCTACAGCCACGTTAATGTGTCAGTCAGTACAACACTGCAGCTTTAAAACAGCTGGGGGGGGGGGGGGGGGGGGCATGCAGCAGAGGGCCACAGGCTGAACTCAGTCTGAAGCATGAACCGGCATCAGGTCTGTTTGCTGTCAAGAGATGAATCATTCACTTCGATCTCCCGCCGAGTGTAAAAGCAGATGAGTCGAGGCGACAGCTGTGGCTGTGCCGTGTCTGACGAGATGAATAAATCAAACTGTGTGTGTGGAGCGCGAGCAGCTGTGTGTCTCTGCTGGAAACAGATTGAGACTCAGATACAACTTTGTGTTTTTTCCCCTCTTTCTGTTTTGCAGCCTCTCACTCTCTCTCCTTCAAGTCAGAGCCGGACGTCCAGACGAGCTGATCACAGATGTTCCTGAGACTCAAAAGCTGCGTTGTTGTTCCCCCGGCCGGCGGTCACAGATGATGCAGGTAACGACCCGTCCAGGTGGATCCTGGGTTGCGGCCTCTCTGGTAACCTGTACATGCAGAAAACCACCCCAGAGACAACCATCAGGAACGTTCCCACCATCCCCACCCCTATGCCGCACCCCACGTGTTGCGAATCAGGCGCCTGGGGCATCTTGAAATCCGAGGGGAACCTGATGGTCTGATTGGTCACCACTGAGGTCAGATTCCACAGGAGAGGGATGAGGGACATCATGGCGGCCGTCAGGCACAGGGCACCGGTGGCGAAGAACCATAAGCGGATTGGCCGGCTCTTCTCCACCCCAAAGTAGACGTTCCTCAGGGTGTAAACGCCGCTGGTGTTCCCACAAAGCCCCGCCAGCAGAGACAGCATCATGAGCACCTGACCCGCCACAATCTCTGGAGGCGTGAAGGCCTCCGTCAGGCCGATGTGCTTGCAGTGCATGACCCTGAAGCCGGGGGTCACCTCCGTGAAGCTGTTGAAGCACGCCCTCCACACGCCCACCCAGGCCACGCCGGAGCTGATGACCTCCCTGTCCGACACCAGCCACACCCTCCACTGGATGAGTCCAAGGGCCACAGCGGTCAGAGTCCAGCCCACGCAGCTCAGCCAAAGGGCGGCGAGCTGAGCGTGGGCCGTGTGGGCTAAGTACGTCATCGTGGAGGAAGTCCTGATCCCACCCAAACGTCATCAGGGGGTCAAAGTCAGGCGGAAGGTGTCATGTTGAAACTCTCCGTGAATCTGGTGCTGCAGCTCATTCAGCCTCGTTTACTTTCTCCCCACCTTCTTTTTCCCCCTGATGCTCTTTTGTGACCTGCGTTACCTGGAAACACGTGCAGCTCACACACACACACACACACACACACCTCCTCACTACTCAACCAACAGCAGAGCAAGGACTGGATATCACGTTCAAAACAGTGGTACTTCCTGTTTATACGTTATGATTATGCATCATGCTAACTGATGCTACATTACATGCTAACGTTTCATTTTAACATGCTACTGTTGCCATGGTAGCAAAACATTATTAATGGTGAGGGAGGAAACAGAAATCTGGATGTTTCTCACTCTGATTTTAACGATCTCTTTTTAAATTTAATATATTTAATAAAAACGTGAATCAACCTGACAAACAGATTTTTAACAAATAAAGCTTTTGCATTAAATTATTTAATTTAAAAATACTAAAACTGACACCTACTCTGAGTATATGAATCACCACGTCAAGATTAAAAGGCTGTAATTAATTGAAATCAGTTATAAATTCATTAGATTCGTACCTGAGTGCCGTCTGTGAGCCGCCTTCAAACTCTTGACCAGGAAACAGACTGACCGTCACTTCCTCATCTTGTCAATAAAAACCTAGATACAGTTTCCCATCATAACTGTAAATGATTGACAGTATATAGACTCAGACAGAGGCGGGGCCTTACAGTCTGACTGCAGTTGTTCCAGTTGAGCTGGTTTATTTATCCTAAAATAACATTGCGTTTCATTGGTAAAGTGACCTCGGTTCAAATCAGGACAACAATGTTAGAAACTGAATAAAGAAGATTTTTTTGTGTAAAATCTAATTTATGGCCGTAGAAAAAATTTGCCAATTATTTACATTAAACTGCCTATTTTTTATTTTATATTTGTGTATAATAAATACAGCTGAAGAGAAATTTGTTTCCTCACAAATCATCAGAGAAAAAGATTAAACACTGTTTCTCTGGTGTGAATCGATTAAAGACGCTCCGATGAAAATCAGGTATTTGACCTTGTTCACGCCCATAAGCTTGGCCTCTGTTAGGACGTTATCATCAGGTGCAGTAAACGAGCTGTGAAACGTCCCAGCGTGGGGCTGTAAAAGTTCCTGTCGTTGACGTCATCACTGACCGTCAACAACAGGAAACCGAAGGGCGTCAGGATTTTACAGGATTATAAAAGGCCTGGTGAAAAACATGAAACGCCTGTGACAAAGATTTACTCTGGTATCATCGTAAAAACTAAAAAAATATCAGAAGCAGCACAAAAATCCTTCAGTTAGGTTCTTCCCAACCAAAGAAAACAAAAGCTGCAGTGACTGTTTAAACATGTTAATGCCGTTAACATTATTTGTTTTTCTCATTGAACACGCAGAAACTTTTAGAAACGTATTAACGAGACACTGTGGTGAAACTTTATTATTAAAGTTTGATTTTCTTGAAACAACGTTTTCTAAAATCTGATTTCTGCAGCGAGCGTTTGTAAAAATAGAAGAAAAAAAAAGTGATTGGACATAAAAGCAGAAGAAGACAGGAGGAGCAGGTCTCTCAGCTTAATCATTTTATTGCTTTCAAGTTGGTGAAAGAGCCACTGCATACATCAAGTGTGGGCCATACCCACATCAGTCCATGTGGATCACAGTGGGGGGGGGGGGGCTACAGTAGGCACGTCTTCAGATAAATATGTGGCGTCCCCTAAAAGGACCAAAGCAGAGAGTAAAGTGCTAACTTCATCATTAACCTCCATGGAAAACACCAGCTGCACCTCAGTCCCTTGAAGTAGAAAACGTACAGGAGTCAGGAGGATGTCTGGATGGGAGCTTCAGCTAAAAGCACCAAGTGTGAGTGAAAGCCTGAAATGATCAACGTCTGCGCTGCCGGAACGAGTCGGCGTCGTCTCTCTCCGGTTCTCGGATCCGCCTCTAAGTCCAGCGTGAATCAGAGAGCTCCACTCAGGAGGACGACGAGGAATCAAACTCTTCGTTTCATTTCATCGGGAAACAAGAAATACGTCAAGAGTCAAATTAAATTACCGGGAAAACATCTTCCCTTTCTCCATACACGTCTTCAAAAAAAGAAAAAAGAAAAAAGGCTACAATAAATTACTAGAAAATATTTCTTTGAAACTTAAAACACACGCGATGATGATTCATTACAAACAGCCACGAGCAGCGGAGGCGTGAGCTCATGATGCAGCTTCAGTCCAGCTCAGGAAACACAGATATGAAAGGGAGGAGATGAAGAGACGAGCACATGTGTGTGTTCACACACCGGCTGAGGAATTATAGTTTGGGGATTTTTCAAAGCTCGGTGTCTCTGGGGGGCGTTCAGGAGCAGGAACACTGGCGGCCTGAAAGGAGCCTGTGAGTCAGAGGATTTATCTGTGGAGATGAAATCATGGCCGCCTCAATAAAATACTCAAAGTCATGATTAGTGGGACACTGAGACATGAGTGTCCAGAGCGAAGTGAAGTTTGGGAAGTTTTACATGAAATCAAATGAATCAATTAATCAACAAAAGGACGCTGTTGTTCCAGAGTGAGTTTCTGGATCCAGAAGACGGTGACGGGAGGGAAAGACCAGAATCTCCTTCAGTACGTTGATGAGCCAATTTCAACCACAGGAACTTTTGTGTCTGTGGTTACAGTTTGTTTAATCACTGATGCGTCACATCGTCTCTCCGGCTTCTTGTCTGGACATTAAGTGAAATATCTGAGGCCTGAGTGAAGCCGCCATTTATCTTCTCGCTGAGTGAGTCATCTTTAGTTTCCTGGTAGAAAACGGCCTCGTGGGAAATTATTATTGGTATTAATCGTGAGAAATAATAACGAGCATGAAACAAGAGGCTTGAAGTCGTCTCAATCTAACAAAGACATTAATATCAAAAATGCTACATGTTGCACCTTCACTTGCGGTCCAGGCGCCCGGTCCTGATCCAGGACGTCGGCATCAGAGCAGCGGCCTCTGCTCCAGCGGCAGACTGTCCAACAGGCACTTGAGCTGCTCCTCGCCCAGCTTGATCTTGTCCTCCAGTTTGCGCTGCTCGATGATGAGAGCCGACTTCATCTTGACGAAGTGCCGGTAGTCGTCCAGGCTCCCGGCGTCCAGGTGCACCTCCATGATCCCGGAGACCAGCCGCTCTCGACGATCCAGGTTCTCCTTCAGCTCCTTGGCGTCCTCGTGCTGCCGCATCAGCAGCTTGCGTTTCTCCGTCAGGGTGCGCTGACGGAGAACGGATATTAATGATTAATAATATATATATTAATGAATGATATTACTGTGTTTCTCCTCTGCCCTCGTGGGACCGCGGCGGTTACCTTCTCCTCTGGCGGAGCTTCGTCCTCCAGGCTGTTGAGGGCGTTCTCCACGCGGGCGAGCCGCCCCGACAGCGACAGCAGCAGGCTCACCACTTTGTCCAGGTCGCCCACGAACATGCGGAACTTGTCGAGCTGGTTGGGCTGACAGAGGCGCTGCACGGTGGCCTCCACCTCGCGGCCCAGAGTCTCGTTGTCCTCCACGTCCTCCTGCAGGCTCTGCCGGGCCTCCCGCAGCACCTCCAGCTTCCTCGCCAGGCTGGAGATCAGCTCTTGCTGGAGGAGGAGAAGAAGAAAGAGTCCAACTTACACACGATAACGACAACAACTCTCTCCGATGAGCAGATCTCTGTCTCAGTTCGTGTGTTTTACCTTTTTACTGGCCAGGTCGACGTCGAGCTCGTCCTCAGAGTCCTGCTCCTCCAGCTGCACCTGCATGTCCTTCATCTTGATGAGCAGCTCGGCTTTAGGAGCCGATGTGTTGTAGTAGGAGGAGCTGGGCACCAGGGAGGCTGCTGCTGACACACACACATCCTCCTCCTCCCTCCTGACACACACACACACACACACACACACACACACACACACACACACACACAGTTAAAATCGATCTTGTAGTCCTGGCTGTAATGAAGCCTCTGCCCAGCAGGGGGCAGGCTGACTGAAGGTTGAACCACTCCCTCATGTTCACTGTATTCTCTCTTTTTAATCACAGTTTTTACATTTGTAGTGAATTTATTGAAATGATAAAACTCACACACACAGGTTAAAGGTTAAAGGTTAAAGGTTAAAGGATGCAGCAGCAGGTGTTGCGTCTCCCACCTGTCCATGCTCCTGGGGGAGGCGGTGGGCAGCCTGGAGCTGGCGGAGGCCCTCCTCCGCTGCTGGGCTCCCTCCAGGATCTGCTCCTCTGAGGGGAAGAGTCCCTCCATGAGGTCCATGGTGGTCTTCCTGCCGCTCTGGTCGAGGATGTCCACCAGGGACTTGTCTTTGCCCATGATGTCCCTGGCCAGTTCCTCTCTCTTGGCGTCCTCCTCCGAGCGCCGCAGCTCGGGCGCCGACTCCTGGGCCGGCGCCGAAGCCTGCCCCGGGTCCGGAGCGGCCTGGCGGGTGTAGGCGCTGAACAGGGACGAGGCCGGGTGCTCTGTGGCGCCCAGGCAGGGGACGTGGGGCGGCGGCCCGAAGAAGCTGCAGGTGTCGCCGCTTTGGGGCAGGTAGGCCCGCCCCTCCCGATCTGAGCTGCTCTCGGCGTGGACGATCCTCACGGGGACTTTCCTCACTAGACTCTTCACATCCATCACTTCTGCAAACCTCGACTCATTCTCCGACCTGAACACGAGACAGATAGTTTTTTAATAAACACCAGAGCTGCGCCGGCGACTGATCGTACGCCACCAGAGGAAAAGGTCACAGCTGCCAAGTGGCTTCTACAAAATTACAGCCTCCACTTTGATTCGTCTCCGGCTGCTGAGGAAATCTACGACGTGCACGATCAGACTGAATAACCTGCTGCTTCATTACTCGAGATCTGACGTATAAATCTGTTTATCTGTTGTTGTTTTGTTTGTCACCGTCTCACTTCCCCTCCATGTGTCTTCTTCCATGTTTACCTGGAGCCGTTATTCTAAGCCTCTTTTATTAGAGGAGGAGGAAAAGCTTTACATAACGAGGGGCAGTGAGGAGACATGGAGGCCTTTGCTAAGCTGCTTACCTGAGCGGTGAGTCATCCCACACGGACACGGCCGGCGGCTTGTCGGTCAGTCTCAGCGGTGCGAACTGCGGCGAGGGAGACCGCGCTCGGTCCGCCGTGGGCAGAGACAGAGCGTCCGCCCAGGAGGAGAACGGGGATGGAGAGGAGGAAGGTGGAGGTGGCTGCTCCTTCTCCTGCTCAGTGTCTACATCTCCTTCGCTCATGTCTGGTCCGGGTGTCCTGCTGAGGTGAGGGGAGCTGGCCGGGGCGGGGCCCGCGGACGAGCCCCGAGCAGCAGCATGGTGCTGGGTGTCGGAGCTGGATCTGGACAGAGGCTGGAGCGCTGACTGGTCGGCCTGGGCCCCAGCGAGGAATTCCTGGGAGGAGGATGTGGTTTCTGGGCCTAAATGGGGCCTGGGCGGCGGCAGGAGGCCCTTGGTTTGTGGAGGCTGGGCTGGATGCTGGGAGCCAGGGTTGGGGCTGAGGCTACGAGGGCCAGAGGAGAGGGTGGTGTGGGAGGGATTGGCGGCATCTGGTTTGGTCCTGTGGTCAGAGAGGCCCGGGATTGGGCCCTCGTTTCTGGGGGCCGGCGGGGCCGCCTGTGGGCTGTGGTCAGGCTGGTATCGCTGCCTGTTCTCTGACTTCCCTCTAGAGGTCAAAAGAAAGACAAACCTCATCAGAACCAAAAAATAAAAACATTAAACGTCCCACAGTGAGTCGCTCTGTGTCCTACAGGAAAACAGAGACGTAATTATTCTTTTAATTTCACAATCAAACAAAACATTGATTCTTTCCGTCTTTATCAAGCCGTTAAACTCTTTATTACAGGTTCTGAAGAGAAAGGCTCAGAAACGTTCGACCCATCTTTACTGTGTTTTTCAGTCGTTCTGGGAATCAAGTCAAACTCCATCAACACAACATGAGTCACAGTCGTTCTGAGCCACAGCTCTGTTTAGAACAACAAGTCTGTGACTGTGGTTTTAGTACATCAAAAAAAACACTGTGAAATGAAACTGTAAATTCAATTAACTCTCTCTTTATTATAATCATTATTTACCTTTTAACTGCAATATCAACGTTAGCATTTAAAAAACATCCTTTGCTAACGAAGACTTTACTGAAACATTATTCCCCTTCATTTTAATCAGGCTCTTCAAAGCAACAACCATGTACAAATAAGTGAATAAAGTTTAAAAGAACCTCTAGACGTTTGGTGAAAAAATAAAATCCAGTAATTCTGAATTTAATGCTTCAAACTGCTCTTAATTTGCAAGAGTAAAAAGACTGGCCAATTAAATTCACCTTACATTTATTATGAACATGTTTAAACCTCTTATTGATGTACAAAGCAAGGAGGAGAAGTCTCTCTTTACGCTTCAAATTAGGCATAAAATAACATATAAAAGAGGTTTTGGTTGATGATGAACGTAAAGCAAAAGACTTCCGTGGTTCATCTTGTTCAAACACCAGCCACTAAGACGAGGTGAGGTAACAGCAGAGACAGAATTCTTAGCTTTGTTGAATATCACATTTCCTGCAGGGTGTTACGTCCGACCCTGAGCAGAACACAGCCCACTAACAAAAGGAGCAAATGCTGAGGATTAATTTCACCTTTTGACCAAGAAAACGATCACGCAGACGACGGATAAGTTGCTCTTTGTCAGGAGCAGCTTAAGAATGAACTGATACACCCTCCACCCGCCGTAACTCAGCAGTAACTTTACTACAGGAGTCCAGGAGGAACTCATCACCTCAACACGAGCTCCGACAACAGGAGATAGATTTCATTTCCTTTCAGGCCCGGGAAACGGAGACCTGTCCTCTTTCTGCTCTGAAATCTCACCACTCTAACACATTCCACATTTACATGAAACTCCACAAGCATTTCCTTTTGGCGGATGTTTCTGAGCAGGAAGGTGTTCAGCACATATGGATGTTGATGCTGTTGGACCTGACCTGACAACCCCTGGGACATCCTGCCACCCGTCAGATTTTGTTTTCCAGTTTATGTTTCTTTGCTTTACCCACGTGATTTTAAATGTTATCTTATATATATATTCACAGTACAAACAAACTAGGATCTCACCTGGTGGTGTAAGTGCTCTGCTGGGCTTGAGGGTCTCTCCATGATGAAGGAATATTCTGCAAAATAAAAGGTAAAGTTAAGGCCTTTGTTAAACGCAGCCTGCCGTCAACAGAAGATGACAGCAGTAGTCTGTTGTTGCATCTTCTTGTGGTCGTGCACGTTACCTCATGACTTAGTTGTCAGATCCAGAAATATAAAAACCCACCTGTGTGTAGAAGTCTGCAGAGGGGGACGATCTGGATCTCTCATGGACGCAGATGGTCTTCTCCTCAGAATCTGCGTCTAAGATATTCTCTGCAGAGTGATACCTCCCTTGCGTCTTGGCCTCCGACGACTTCTTCTGCTTGTTCCACGTGGCCTGGTACTCGGCGAAGGTGCCGAGCCTCTGCTGCTCCAGTGAGGTCTGCATGTGTCCGGGGTTGAGGAGGTGGTAGGGGTCCGCGGGGGGGTGAGCCTCCTCAGGTTCTCCAGACGGAGTTCTCTGTTTGAGTTTCTCGCCGAGGTCTGCGTTCAGGTTTGAACCCTGACTGGACTTCAGCACAGGTCTGGAGAACGCCGGTTTGGCCTCAAAGAACTTCCTCCGTTCTCCGAAGGACCCTGTTTGAGGTTCTCCCTCCACTCCTACCTTGTCGATCTTGTCAGGCTCTGAGAAGGAGTGCGTCCTCTTTGCCAGGGGGAAGCGCTTACGTCCTCTGATGCGTGCGTTGGAGGTTTTAACTGCCTGCGCCTCCGGTCCAAGGGGCTCCAGGTCTCGTCTCTGGAAGGAGGTGGCCTGGAGGACCCTGGCCTGCGCCTCCTTCAGGTGGTCCTTGTAGGTGTTGGAAAAGGAGACGCTGGAAGACGTAGAAGTCTCTGTGGATCTCCAGTCCTCTCCCTCCTCGTCTTCTGCGTCGCAGGTCAGCGTGGCGGCGCTGCGGCTCTTCTGCAGCTGAGCTCGTTTCTGCTGGATCTCCTTGCGGAGGGTTGTGGCGTAACGGTCGCTGCGGCGATTCGCTTTTCCACTGCCGCTGGCCATGGTGTCACCAGCATCCTGGGTGGACATGACACCCACGGTCGTCGCTGCCGGTTGTCTCTCGGCCAGACTCCTGCTCTCCTGGGCCAGCGAGTGGAGAAGCGGCGTTTTCAGCGGGGATATCCGGTGGTCTTCTTGAGGCACCCATGGGTCTTGCTGCCTTGAAAGACTGTTTTTATGATCAATACTTTGATGTGTTGAAAAGTGTCTTTTCATGTCATGCGTGTGTCCTTCACTTCTCTTTGCAGCATCCTCTGGGCTGCGGCCTGGAGCCGAGTGTTCAGACGTCTGGTGGTCATAATGAAGACCGTTCCCAGGATGGGAATGACCGTTGCGCTCCTTATTTTCACTGTAAGGCGCCTGGGACTGAGGTAGAGGAAACTTCGCCTTAACGTTTGCCTTCAGGGAACCTTGGAAACCTGGTTCATTGCTGTTTACCCGGTGAGGTTTCTCTGCTTTCACCTGCCTGAGCTCAGCGGTCTGAACCGAATGCTTGCTCGCCATGCTGTAGTATCTGCTGTGGCCCCCACCCTCCAGGTTTGGGTTCGCAGCAGAACCTGTCGTGGCGGCCGCGGAGTGCCGGACGTGTTTGCGGCCGAAGATGTTTGTGGGCAGATCCTGGAGGCTGCGATAGTAGTTTCCCACACTCTGGGTCTTGGTGGGAGGGGCAGATCTAGTCTGCAGGTAGAGGGGGCTTTCGTCGCTGTACTGCCTCTGGTGGGTGGGAGCCTGGGTGTAATGAGACTGTCGGACATCAGTGCTGGACAGGGAGAAGAGTTTGTTGGGGTGCAGCTGGTTGTGGTTGTGGTCAGCTGCCGTGTTGGGATGGAGGAAGTCTTTGGTGGGGAGGGGGTTGAAGCTCCGTCTGGCCTCTGAGGTTTTCTCCTGGTGAGATCTGAGGCCGTTCTGTTCTTTGTTCTCAGACTGTTTTTCAACTGATCTGCCGTTGTTCTTTGTCGGACCGCTCGGCCCTTCAGAGTAAGGGAACACCTTCGTGGCGGCAAAACTGTCGCTGCGCAGGGGAGGAGGTGGGGGAGGAGGAGACTGGGACTTCTTCTTCTCCGGTACCTGCCACACCGGGCCGGTGCCGGGTCGACCTGCAACTGAAACCCGAGAGGCGGGCTGCTCCTCTGCCCGCGACCCCTCCCAGCCTCCGCTCCCCAGCGTCGGCTGCAGGTACCGGGGCCGCCCGGCCTGCTGAGGCCCTTCGCTCTGAAGGCCCTTGAAGAAAATGTTCTCGGTGCTCGTGCCCTTCCTCCCTGAGGCGCTCTGCTCATGAGCCGGAGGGCTGGAGCCGTTGGAGAAACAGCTGAACCCGGAGTCTCTCTTGCCTCCTGGTCCACAGAGCGGCTCAGTGCTGCTGATGTATTTGGTCGGGGAAAGACGACCTGCTGGGTAGAGATGAGACGGACGGTCCAGTCTCTCCATGTTGTTCACTGAGCTGAACTGACTGGGTGGCTGACAATGAGGCTTCTGATCCGCTTGTGTGGACGACTCTTTGGGCCTGAGGTCGGGAAAAAAGTCATGTTTGAATTTGATGAATTATTGTTCTATTATCACAAAGTTACCTGACTGAACAGACGATATTCTGGGCCAACAGACGACTCACCTTGCTTCATGTTTTGGTTGCCAGACTGGTGCTGGAGTGGCCTCTCTCCCAGCGGGCTCCGACTCCTCTTCTGTCAGCTTGGAGGAGTGCCAGGTATGAGGCCGTGAGCCCGGATCATTCTTCCTGCAAGGCAGCGAGCAAACAAAACACTTTACACTATCGCAGGGGAGTATTTGACGTTTCAGCTCCTGTTTCTCTCAGGAGAAGACAGGTGGCACATTTGTCATGTGTTTTGGCACCAACATCATTCTCGTCCAACAGAAGTGCACAGAGTTCAGACGGTGCAAAGACTCTCCAATGAAAACTGCAGCTTCAAGTACACTTCATTCAGTTGAGCGGGTTTTTTCGTCCACAATAAAACTGTGGTTTATTGTTTTCACATAATCTGCATTTCAGAATCCGTTAGATTTCATAAGAGACTTTGGTTTGTTGTTCATCAAAATACTTGTGTGCACATTTCAAACTCTTCTGGCCTGGAAATCCAATTAAAATGAATAACCTGCTCTTATAAAACCACCCACACCTTGGAACGAAGCTTAGAAACATAAACTGATAACCGTACTGTGATATTCACTTTGCTCACACCGAACCGGCACATACCCTTTGAAGCGGTTCTTCCTGGAGAGCATGTTGAAAGGGAAAATAATTACAGGTGTTTAATAGATCATGTAATCACACAGTGTATTAAACCAGAGACAAAACCAACATCACAGGACTGAACTAATGACGACTGAAGAGTATTTGGTTTGGACAACTAGCACCAAAAGAGAAAGGACAGAAATCACGAGGTAAAAACTGCACGACCACAGGGACACAAACTACCAGCAAACACAGCGGGACGCGTCTGGATGACGGTACCTCATAGAGCTTCGCAAAATCTTGGTGAGAAAGCTCCTCGCCACGTGAACTTCGGTTTCTGACGGCATTGTGCGTGGCGCAGATACGACGTCAACCATTTTAGGCCTGATGGGCGGCGAGCGAGAGGAGGCAAAGGAAACGTTGGCGTCAAACATGAACAGAAGCAGAAACTGAATTTGAGGTTTATTTTAATTACAGCTGATAATTAGGACAATCAGTATTTTTCAAAGCTGAAACGTGACTTTATTTTGCACTAAATCCCGGAGCAGCTTTTATCCAGAGTGAACTTCATGTGTGTTTCTGGGTGAAGCCGTCTTTTATTGTGAAGAGCTTTCACAACAGGAGAGGGAGACAGATCTGTCACAGCCATCTGGCCCAGACAGAGCTTAGCTGCTTAGCTTTGAGAAAAATTAGACGAATGTGAACCGGATCCACGGGATGGAGAGGAAATCTGCCTCCCTCCCACCACAACCTCCTCCACCTCAGCTGAAACTATCAGACGGTTTTATGTGCACAAAAAAAAGGAACTTGACATTTCAAATGCTGATCTTTGGGGAGGTTGTTTTCCAAGTTCAAATGTCAGACCCAAGTGAAATCTCTCAGCCAAATGAGACTTCAGTCACCCTGACCGAAACTTTAACCCTGCCAGGCCGTGATGGAGACGCTGCATTCCTTCAGAGGAGGAATGCAGGGAGGTATTTTCCCTCCCTGCCGTGCCCTCGCTTCAAGTGGGACATCTCTGTTGGCCATCTCCCAGAGTCCCAGAGTCCCAGAGTCTCCCAGTCGCTGCCATGGAATAAAGAGAGAGCAGCATCTTTCCGACTCTGATTTCTTTACTAATCTTGTTGTGGGTTTGACTTTCTCCGTCCACAGAAACATAAGATTAGAGCGAAGAAGGAAGGGAAAGAAAAGAAAGTCAAAACTCAAGGTCAATACAACCACTGGCTGCTTGTAAAGGTGATAAAAGTTTATTATGATGTTTCTGGACAAAAACGATGCAGATGCAAAATCTTTGCACTGCACCTCAGAAATCAGCTGTGGCTGAGACAGGTAGCTTTCATCGCTCTGCAAATCCAGGAGTCTGTGTGTTATGGGTTTGTCATTTCCAGGATGTTTTTAATAAAACACAAAACAAACGTCAGTTTCAGGTGTTTTTAAAATCACGATAACTTATGCAGCAGCAAACAGGACTGTGTTTGATCCCAAACTGTTACTTTAACATAAACCCCTTCGCTGCCTCTGCTCCATGTGACACAAAGTGAGAGTTGCGTTGCCTCCAAACAAGCCCCCGCACAAAGGAAATGCAAATGTCCCCTTTTCTAAAGCGCAGAGGGCCTATTGTCAGGGGATACAGCTGGTCTGTCACAGATATTCCACCGGGGAGGAGACGCCACCGCTCACTCCCAGGAAACATGAGTCCAACTCAGGCCGAGCTCATTCAAGAAAACACCGAACTGAAACACAGCTGACCCACTTGGCTGCAGGAGCATCCGAAGTCTCGCTGATCTCATCACTGACTGAGATTCACTCCACAAACATAAAAACAAAGGGGTGAAATCTGAACGTGGACGACAGCGATTTGTCCTGAGCTCCACTAGAAACATGAAGACATCATTTTCTATTTCCTAAACTGAAAAATAAAAATAATCATTAGACAAAAAAAGTTGTTCAGTTAGATGCAAAAATCAAGATATTAAGATTTCAACCTGTTTTCAATGCAAATCAACATGTTTCTATTCAGCTTTGCAGAGGTTTGTCTCTTGAAAACAAAAGATGCAGAAGAATTAACAACATTAAACCTGATTTTAGCAAATAATCCGAGTCACAAACTGGTTGAAATGTTTTTCCTGCTCTCACAGATTTGTTTAAAGAAAATCTGAAAAGAAAATCTGAAGTGATGATGATGGAGATGTTGGTGAAATGAAGCAACAACAAAACATGGGAACTTACCAGCTTTCTGGTAACTGTTCTCTCCTCTGTGTGTGTGTGTGTGTGTGTGTGTGTGTGTGTGTGTGTGTGTGTGTGTGTGTGTGTGATCTGTCTGCGTGACACCTCTGCAGCCAACTCCTTCAAAAACAATTCGGGACAGGAAGAAAAAGAGATGCACTTTGACACCACTACTCCCACCAGTCTGACAGAAACAAGCACTGAGGAATCTGGCACCTCCTCCTCCTCCTCCTCCTCCTCCTCCCAGTATGAACACACACAAACACACTCCACCTTGTGCTGGAGGAGATTTCCCCGGGGGATTATGAGGGGGGGATTTGAGACGAAGGGGGAGGAGTTATCATCCTGTCCCGTGTCCTTGCTGCGATCTAGTGTTTGGACTCTAAGTGTGTGGACCACAACACCTCGGCAGCTCCGTCTGTCACAGATAAAGGAACAGTGACGGATGCTCACGAGCATCTTTCACAGCAGTGGCAGTAACTTATTATCACGTCGACTTTATCCGTAACTGAGTCTTTAAAGTCGTGTTTTCTTCAAACAGGTGCAGCAAGAACGTCTCAGTCTGTTTCCAAGTATTTTCTGATTCAAACCACCGACTACATAAAAACAAATACACGTGCTTCTTTTTAAAGGATTTATGAGATTATCAGACTGCACTTTGTCCAGTTATCAGTCTGTCTGTGATAGTTTACATTTCACAACCTCGCCTCTCTGCTCCAGATCTACTTCAGTGTCCTTGTCAGGAAACTCGGCCCGGTCAGGAATGTTTGGCCTGGGCCCACGTCTGTTTTGAGAGATACCAGCCAATGTCAGACTGAGGGGGAGGAGGAGGGGGAGGAGGCAGATACCGAGTGGCTCCTTCAGCATGGAATGACTCCTCTGCTGAGGGGAGGAGAAGCAGTAGGAGTCAAAGAGTCTTGGTCTGTGTGTCTGTGAAACTAAAATCACCCCAAAATGTAAGTGTAAATTTAGTTCAGCCACTTTATAAATGAGGCAAAAAAATGATGATTTATGGATCTGAGCACTTTTTTTTTTTTACATGGTCAAGGTCATCGACAGACACACAAAAAGTTTTATCTTTAGGTTTTCTGACCCTGATCACTGGATTCAACTATGATCCACACGACTGATCACACAATCAATAGAAATAGATCAAGATGGCGTTTTATCCAACATCTCCGGTTGTCAGTGATGTCAATTCCCTACAGACGTCTTCTAATCACCAGTTCGGCCACTAGGGGGCGCTCAACGGCCACTTCAACTATTTCACTGCTTCAAATCCATCAGGCGACTATTTTGATCATCGATTCATTTTTCAAACAAAGAGTTCCTGTATTAAAGGTCCGTTAAAGTATAAAAGTACATGTCCATGTGTTGTTTCATGATATTAATACTTAAAACGAGCTGTCAGGACGTTGTGATGTCACAACAAAGCAGTCACCAAGCCCCGCCCACCTGGACCCACCATCCAAACCTTGCAGGATTTGGTTTCTCTGCGTGTTTTTACCTGAAATCTGCTATATTTTTACTGGATCACTCAGAAAACAGTCAGCCAATCAGAAGAGAGGCTCAGAGCCTCCTCTCTTCTGATTGGCTCACCGACCTGTTGTTACTAGAGCTCCAGAGAGAAGCCTGAGAGAGGAGATGTGAAACTACACTGAGATGGTTTTAGGTTCTTTAAAGCACAAATATATCTTCTTATGGATCAACAATATGAGCTTTAAGATTCTTTTCTCTGCTTTATATCCCAGGAGACTGAATATCTTTGGGTTTTACCTGCTGGTTGAAACCGTCACCTGTGATTCAGAGAAACTAGGATGGATATTTTCATAATTTCCTAATATTTTACAGACTAAATGATTAATAATAATGTAAATAATGGTTAGCTGCAGCTCTAGTTTCCTCACTTTTTGTCTTGCTCAGGATTCCTCCAATACTCAATCCTCCATTCAAACAAACCCTGGTACAACAATCACTGTCGCTCTTATCAAATCACTGCCATTTCCTCTCCTAACCGTCATCTCTGTCACTCCCCCGCCAGCTCCTGTCAGGCAGCTCAGAGGTGACACATGTTGCTGATTCACCAGCTTGTGGCCACTGGAGGCCAAACAGCCACCAGCACCACCACCACCACCAGCAGCAGCAGCAGCAGCAGCCGCCGCTGCAGCGGCCGCAGCAGCAGCAGCAGCCTGTGGGGCCGACCTCGCCGCGCTGAGCTCCAAACACAGCCACACAATAGAAAGTGCCAGCGTCATCACAGCTGGGCTTATCGGTGTGTGTCACTGCCCGCACCGGCAACAAGAAAATAAAGAGAGGAGGGAGCCTGGAGAACGTAACACGCTTCGACAGAGGTCAGACCTCAAGACGGCCAACAGCTGGAACATCTGGCAAAGCCTGGAACAACAATCAGGCCTTTGATTTAGGCTCTCGTTCATTTTACATTTCACTTCTTCTCAACAACATCCACCTGTAGCACAACAACACAATATTCATTCATTGCAGCTACATCTTGATTCAGTGGCTGATTCCTGTGACTCATGGAGGACACAAACAAACTTTACTCAAACAGAAAATGCTGGCGTTTATTTTATGTTGCATTAAAGTGGAAAAGGGAAGAAATTGTAATAATATGGGAAAATAGGGTGTAAAATTAAAATACTTTAAGATTTTCTATGAATTTAAAAGGATTCTCTACATGATTTTTAGTCCCTAAATTAAATTATTTATCTTTGTTTTAAGCCAAAAGAAATTTCGCCACTGTTTCCTGTAAAGGCAGCGGGTAGATAGTGTGTGTGTGTGTGTGTGTGTGTGTGTGTGTGTGTGTGTGTGTGAGAGAGAGAGAGAGAGAGGGACAACAGGTTTAAGGGCTGTAACAATGATTTGACACAAACATAAACCGCCTTGTAAATTCACAGAGAAACACTGCGACACATGAATCCATTACACACACACACACACACACACACACACACACACACACACACACACAGTTTACCTGCACTAATGTTGTCATCTGTCCTTTTTCTCCACCTTCACATGAATCCTCAGGACGTTTAAGAAAACAGAGGAAATTCCCTTCCAGCAGTTCGTCAGGTTGTTTTTCTACATTAACAGCTGATCCTTCTGGAAAATGGGTCACTGCTGTTCAACCTTTATGAGTGTGAAAACAACTATCTGCTATCTGCTATCTCAAACTCATTCGCCGCTTCCTGATCTAATCCCATTTGTCATGATTGAATCAGAGGAGATGAAATAAAAAGAGGCAGAGGCAGAAAAAGAAAGAGACAAGAGGGAGGTAGAGAGGAAGAGGAAATACCTGGGAGTGGAAAATCTTCTCTTTATCTTCTAAAAAGCAAACATGTCCAGAGAGAGGAGAGAAGCAGACAGGAGCGCCCACTCTGTGCTTGTTGGAGTAGCCAAAGCCCCTGAAAACAATGGGCTCTGCTGATATGGCCTATCCCACTAAGTAGTGTCAACTCACCTAGGCAACATGGACCGTACCACTGCTGCTGCAAACAGGGGAGGACGCCTGCACTGAGGCAGCTCTGAGGACGGCTGAGCGCCCCCTCGGAGCAAGTTTTTAAACCTTCCCTCTCGATATACACCTGACGTTCCCTCTCTGAATCACCTCCGATCGGGTGTTTTTTCCCTGCAGAAGCTGGTTGTTGAAACACAACCGTCGTTCCACCTTTCCCTCCTGTTGACTCGACCCGCTCTGCAAAGCTGAGCCCAGGCCCCGTGGCTTTGCAACTAGTAATTGGATTCAGGATTTAAGTCTCTCTTGCCATTTTCCCAGTGAGCAGATGAGTATGTAATTCTGACATCAGTGTAAAGGAGAAAAGGTTTTAAGAAGCAACTATAGAGGTTTTTCTTCTACAACCTCCTTTACAGTATGGGTCTTTAATTTAATCTCAATTTCATCTCTTTATTTCCCCTTAGATTTCCTCTGAATTTTACAGTTTACATAGATATTCAGTTAAAATAATTAATTAATGGCAATAATGCTGGTGATGAATTAAATGTTTAAGTGATTTTTCAGTTGAAATCAACAGAGACTCTCTGGATCGAGCTTCTCCAATAAGAGGAGTCGTCACTAAATCAGCATCTTTGGGTTTTGGAGAATTGATGAAATAAAACGACTTTTTAGACTTTTAATCGATGTGTGACTTAGACAGCAACCCTGTCTGTGTTTTATCACCTCATCACAAATCACAAACCTGATCCTCATTCCTAAAAGCCAGGACACGAGTCAAAGGGAGGAACAGAAAAATATTCACCCAATGCTTTTTTTCCCTGTTATTTCAAATCACTGTAAGAGGCTTTGGTCCTTATAAAAAGTAAAACACACACACACACACACACACACACACACACACACACACACACACACACACACACACACACACACACACACACACACACACTTCCAATGGACTCAAGCCTCCACAGGGTGGAGCTAATTCATCATCTGCTTCCTGTCACTCGGACAAAATGTGACTTTAGACAGAAGTAATGGAGTGAAGCTGAAACGACTAGACAATTAATTGAATAGCAGATAACAATTAACTGAACATTTAAATAGAAACACTAAACTAACTCCACTGATACGTTACTGACTGTAATCTCATTTCTAGACAAACAGTCACACTCACAGTGCAGACGCTCCTGCACTGGAGTCAAACACAGCAGCAACACACACACCTGGTTCATAACGAGTGAACATCGTCAAGACAACAAGCTGCAGGTGTGGAGCGACTCAAACGTGAGAAGGAAAATAAAACAAACAAAACAATACAAAAATAAAATAAAATAATAAACTTACTGGTTAAAATCAACAGGTGTGGGGGAAAATATAAATCAATCAGCTGGTCTGTAAAGTCCAAAGTCAGAAAAAGGATCCGCATTCTGTTTTAATTTTAATAAAACAAAGTTTTCATCTACAGAGATCTTCGTCAGGCGCTGTCAAATCTATAAAGTGTCAGAAAATAGAGAAAAATACCCATCACAAGTTCCCAGAGCGACTTCAGGTGAGAGGACGACTTTGAATGTCTTGTTTTGTCCGAGCATCAACCTCCAACGCTCAAGTGCTGAAAACTGCAGTTCCTCTAATGACCACAAGAGCCGAGCTCCAACAGTGAGTCAATCCCCCATAGACTCCACAAATAAACATGTTTACAACCAGGTACAAAAAACTGTTTGTTTCTGTAGCTGATTTCCTCATTCATGACACCTGTTTATATAACTCATCTATTTACATTTTATTAAGGACTTAAGTTATGTATAATTGAGGGCGTGGCCTCTTTCAGTGACAGGTGGACACTGCCAAGATGGCAACGGTGGGGCATCTCACTCTGAGCTTCAAAAACCTGTGGGTGACGTCACAGAGGTACGTCCATCTTTGTTTACAGTCTGCGTTTTTGTCTAAATTCTGAATATTTTTATTTAATAATGATAAAAAAAACAGAGAAAACACTGTTACTACAATATCAAGTTCAAATAGAAAAATAATGAAGCATGCTTAATAATGTTTACTGTCAGTATTCACATAATCCCTGCTCACTGAAGGCTGTCCTGACCTGAGGGCTGAACTGGGCTAAAGGTCGACCCCCTCGACCACCAGTAGAGTGAGAGTGGTGCTGGTTTGAGGTGGGTCGGTGTCGCAGCGGCCGACAGAGGGAGGGACTCCCCTCTGTCTCATCTACGAGTCATTATCTGAGCTCTGAAATAACAGCGTTGGCTGGAGCCTGACTGCCTCCACAATACCCGCTTTTGTTTTACCCTCAGGGGCAAACGAGCAGCGAGAGGCCCATGTGTGAGGCTGTGAGGCTGGGTCTGCCTCAGCCCACCCCCCCTTAATAAGAGGAATTAATGGTTGGTGAAGAAACATAGTGGGATTTTAGGAGTTTTAGGACACAAAGTTTGTTTACAACTAATTCAGACTATTTCAGACCAAATTTTATTGCGGTGAAGTTGAGAAAATCGACCTATTTAGTTTCATTTACTTGTGTTTCTCACACTAAGGCGCCAAAACTCAGGCATCTGCTGGTTCTGTACCTTCGGACCACCAGGGTCAGGGTCTTGTGGGAGCTCTTCACCAGGCAGATGGCCTCCTGACGGGAGCCGCTGAGGGGAACGGCGTTCACGCTCACCATCTCGTCACCGGCCTGCAGATGGACCGCTGCCGCCGCGCTGCCCTCCTCCACCTGAGCACATAGACACCAAATACAGGTGCAGCAGGAAGTCAGTTATTTCAAAAGATCTCAAAATAAATCAACTTCAAATCTCAGGGGCAATTAAAAAAATATTTCAAATGATTTTATGTCACAACACTTTTAATCTAGGTCACATTCTGTTTAGCTGAGGATATCATAGGTACAACAACCATTTCTATTTCTTTTCTCCATCAGTGTTTCATTCAGGACGTCATTTCATCCTGCGCTGGGCGGAAACCTGAGCTCTCTGATTAAAAATTAAATCCTGCACCGGCTGTAACTTAGGGAGTCGGCGGTGCGTGGCTCCAGGTAAGATGCAGTTCACACCTGCACACAGAGAAAGCTCCTGGTATCTGCTGTGCAACATGTTTCATATAAAGAATTAGCACTGCAAGATAAAGTGACTCCTTATGAAGGTTTAGCATCAATTAATTCAATTTGAGGTTTTAAATTTGAACATTTGACTTTATATTCTAAACTTAGAGTTCAGATTTTTAACTCGACGTGTAATATCTCACACAGCAGTGATGTTCAGTATGAAAGAAGACAGCTGCTCTCAGTAAAGGCCAATATTTCAGACACCGAACGGCTTTAAATTCTGCACCATGACTCTAATTAAGATGAAACTGTTTGAGCTGATGAAGGTGTTTCCAAAACCCAGAGCTCAGTCCACACCTTACAAACAGTGTCTCACGTTTCCTCCTATGATGTTTTCTTGTTTGTTTGTATCTGACACGTTGCACAGCAGCAGTAAATAAATAAACTTTGTGAATGAAATGAAATAAACAATTTAAAAGTGAAAATGAATAATGAAAATGAAGGTTTGAGCTCTGGTGCAAAAGAACTACGTCACCTTGGTGATGACCAGAAGCTCTCGGTGCTCGGTTCCTCCCCTCAGGGTGAAGCCCCAGGGCGCTTTGCCTCGGAGCAGCACCTCCACCAGCTCCTCATCCTCCTCGCCTTCCTCCCCTCCCCTCTCCTCGTCCGTGCGGCCTCGCCACTTGTCCACCTCCCTCCACCACTTCATCCTTCCTGCCGAAACCCTCAGGTCGTCTCTGTAGTCCACGGCATCCATGACGCCTGCCGTGCAGTGGGCTCCATCGACATCGGTTCACTCTGACAGGCTGAGGAGCCAAAACACCATTCATTATATTTAAATTCATTTCCAAATATAGGAGCAGCAGGTGAAATATGGGGAATATTATGGGAATATTATCAAAATTATAACTGGAATGATTAGATTATTATCTGATCATCAGAAAATTAACACACATCTATTCTAATAATTGATTAATAACAAATATATCTTTATTTGAGCTTTTCAGATGTGAATATTTATTTGTTATCTTTATCTAATATGATAAAACATGATATATATATATATATATATATAATTCAGTTAAATGTCAAAACAAAATGAAGCTACTCGACATAGCAGATCAAGCTAATTATAACTAAGCTAATTGTGATCTTATTAACGCTTTTTTACCATCAATAACAACTAAAACTAATTGTTAATCGATTTTTTGTTAAGTTTAAGAGCTTTAACTTACTTGTAAATGATGTTCTCTGCACAAAAGCTTTCGACAAACAAATGACAAACGACAAACCACAGGTGAGCGACTCCGTTTCTCCGTGAGAGCTCCAACAGGTGAGGCGCGAGCTCTGTCTTAATTAGTTGTTAATTTAAATTGAACTGAATCACTCGGACAGACTCGGACAGAGTTTCGGTGTCTCAACCCCCCTCCACGGCCTCTCTGTGGAGCTTACACCGCCCCAGGCTGAGCTATCCACCGTCCGGCTCCTCAACACCTCCTCTCCTCTGTCCGTTAAAAAAAAAATAAAAAAATCCCCTCCGTCCGTTTACTTTTACAGACGTAGGCGGTGATGTCACCGCGCCCCCTGGCGGCGACGTGCGGCGTCACGAGGCTGTGAGTTGCCTTAAGGTGCTTCTCGTAAAATTCCGCTTTCTTCTTCTTTTCTTCTTTGTTTGTTTCTTATTTCTTTCTTACTCCTGCCCTGCAGCCACTCTTCTTACCTGTCTATAATTTCTTACCTCAGCTGTTCAGATGTATTTGCCTCTTCCTTTGCCATTGCTCCCATAAAGTGACTCTACCTGTCCTGTCTGTATGTCGTTGGGTCCTCACTGATCCTGACGTGACCACAGACAACAAAAGCATAAATAGTTCATATTAATGTCGGAGTTGTTGCAGTTAACAATATAAGCGTGAAATTAAACAGGGTTATTTTCCAGATTTGGCAGTGATAATTTCTGAATGTTTAACTTACTCTTTCTGACCACTAGATGGCAGTATACACACATCATGTAGATCGATGTGGTTAATATTAATACCTTAACATAAAAATAACCAGGTTATAGTTTAAAATACAACAATAAAACAGAGACTGGAACAAGAAAAGCTCAATTCTTTAGACTTTTTTATATTATCTCTTACAAATGTGTACAAATTATTTAACAAACAAGTATGAAATACAAAGGACATCAAACATGGTTTTATATGATACTGACCAAGCTTTCAATCAGTGAAAAATTTGCACATATGCCAAATAATTGTATTAATTACAGTAGCTTATATAAAAATTAACTAGCTTCACAGTCAGAATCAGAATTAAGTTTATAGCCAAGTAGGCTTTCACATACAAGGGACTTGCTTCAGTGTTTTGGTGCAAAACAATAGACACAGTGAGAAGAAAGTAAAAAAACATATGAAATCAGATGGCCTCAACCCAAAACCTTTTAGCCCACCTCATCTGTTCTCAAGTATCATATCAATACCTGAACATCTCACATCTTATGGCTCGCCTCAGTCAAGTGAGTGCATGAAGGATTTTTTCATAGCGAATACAGCACAGATGACTGACAGGTGACTGCATGTACAATATCAGGACCTTCCAACTACTTAATGGACTTCAGCCACCATTCATTTTATGAATTACACCTTTGCTTTTCCTACTGTGACATGTCCAGTGATTTTGAACAACGTACGAACAACAAAAATGATTTTGTTTGTGTTTCTATACACATTGGATAAAGACTGAACCTGGCTTGTCAGCAGCTGACTTTGAACTAGTCCACTTGTTCTTCTTGGCAGTTACCTCTCTCTGTCTCTCTCTTACAGCCAACACAGTGACAGTGAGGCGCCAAATGACTTATCCCTAATCCTGAACGCAGGGTAGACAGGTTCAGTGAATGTGGTGTTGATGGTGTGGAGGTGGATCTGTGTGTCAGAGCAGACGCTGTAGAAGGACAGAGTGCCGGCCCGCCAGTCCAGATACACTCCCACTCTGTTAGACGAGGAGGCCGGAGGACGAACAGATGTTCCACTGTTTTTGTGACAAACAATGAAACCTTCATCAGAACAGTCCAAAACCCAGGACTGATCATTCCCTCCGAGCCTGCAGTCTGCACCATTTCCTTTCCTTTTGATCCTTCTGTAAGTCACACCTATATCAACCCACCCTTCCCACTTGACCTCCCAGTAACAGCAACCAGTCAGACCAGTTTCACACAGGATCTGTCCCCAGTGGTTAAATCTGTCTGGATGATTAGGATACGGCTGCTCCTCCTCCACCGCTGTCACCTTCCTGTTGTCATCGGACAGTTTGACTTTTCGTAGCGCTGTGTTTGAGTCCAGTGTGAGTTCACAGTAATCTGATGGAGAGAATACGACACAGCGCTCCTGTTTAATAAAGTGAAGAAGATAGTTGAGTGTTCGCTCATTCGTTTTCATGTTAAGTTTAAAAACACACTTACACTTCCTCAGACCTGGTTTCAGCCTGCAGATTCCACTGTTGTCCACTCTGGAGGAAAATACACACTAAGTCAGACCAGCATCCTCTTTTGGATAATGTACATTAACACTGAATTGTTCTTGTTATACTGTAGAAAACTTTGTGGAAATCCATCCACCAAAATCACAAATCAAAGTGACACTAGAGTCAAAAGTCAGAAGATCAAAGATATTTGTCTTGTTGATATTTTACTGCATAAATTCAAAATATGACCTACTGTTGATGCTAGAGGAAAAGAATAGATGTATATATATAAGAATTGATATATGATTGATACAGCTGGGAGAGGGTCATCTGGACTCTCTTGCTTAACTTGCTGCCACCACGACTCGACTCCAGATAAGTGGCAGAAAATGGATAAGTCAGCAGTCTCAGCCAAAGATATTATTAGCTTAATATTTCTCAGGAATTTGTCAGCACACCTGGTTTAATCACCTGTCTCTTGGTGATGGATTTCATGTATAACTGAAAGCTAATCACTGTCACTGCCACTTTCCTCTTACACAAGTTGACACCTTGACACAACATGGTTTCCAGCTCTACCAATCTCTTTTGTCTGCAGCAGGCCTCTACATACCTGAGAGTGTCCAGTCTCCAGTCTGGATCCTCCAGTCCAGCAGACAGAAGCTTCAGTCCTGAGTCTCCTGGATGATTGTAGCTCAGGTCCAGCTCTCTCAGGTGGGAGGGGTTGGAGCTCAGAGCTGAGGCCAGAGAAGCACAGCCTTCCTCTGTGACCAGACATCCTGACAGCCTTTAAAACATGCATGAGATACATGTTAGATCAGCTTCATATCCGAGACTTAGATTAGCAGGATTCATGTGGAACAAATGATCAATTACAGTTTATTGATTGATTGGCTTCACCTTCTGTTATGGCTCAATAAATCATTCTGGAGAATAAATCAAGGTTGAACCTTGACTACTTGACATTCATGAACACTTTTATTGTCTCAGTGTTACCCTGAATGTGTAAGATCCTGACCTGAGAGTCTCCAGTGTACAGTGTGGACTCTCCAGTCCAGCAGACAATAGCTTCACTCCTGAGTCCTGCAGGTCGTTGTTACTCAGGTCCAGGTGTCTCAGACTAGAGGACTGGGAGCTGAGGACTGAGGACAGAGCTCTACAGCTTCTCTTTGAGAGGTTACAGCCACTCAGTCTGAAGAAACAACAAACAAAAACATGATTTTACTGCTTAGACCAAACGATCCTGAATTGACCCAGTTACTTCTGTACTTACACAGCTTTGTTAGAGACTTTGACCACTGGCAGCAGCTTCAGAAGAGCCTCCTCTGAAGCAGAGTATTTCTTCAGGTCAAACATGTCCAGATCTTCTTCTGAGGACAGTAAGATGAAGACCAGAGCTGACCATTGAGCAGGAGACAGTTTATCTGTGGAGAGACGTCCTGATCTCAGGGACTGTTGGATCTGCTCCACTAGAGAACGATCATTCAGTTCATTCAGACAGTGGAACAGGTTGATGCTTTTCTCTGGGGAAGGATTCTCACCAATCTTCTCCCTGATGTACTGGACTGTTTCCTCATTGGTCTGTGAGATACTTCCTTTGTATGTAAACTGGAGTTGTAGAAGACGCTGATTGGTCTGCAATGAAAGACCCATGAGGAAGCGAAGGAACAAGTTCAGGTGTCCATTTGGACTCTTTAAGGCCTCATCTACAGCTTACTGGTAGAAATAAGCAAGTTCAGATTTGTCTTGAAATAGTTTAGATAACCAGGATGTGGACTGTTTCAACAGCAGATTGACTCCAGAGTTGATGAAGGTCAGATGGACATGAAGAGCAGCCAGAAACTCCTGAACACTCAGATGGACGAAGCAGAACACCTTGTCCTGGTACAGGCCTCTCTCCTCTTTAAAGATCTGTGTGAACACTCCTGAGTACACTGAGGCTGCTCTGATATCGATGCCACACTCTGTCAGGTCTGATTCATAGAAGATCAGGTTTCCTTTCTGCAGCTGCTCAAAAGCCAGTTTTCCCAGAGACTCAATCATCTTCCTGCTCTCTGGACTCCAGTGTGGATCTGTCTCTGATCCTCCATCATACTTGACGTTCTTCAGTTTTAGCTGAACCACCAGGAAGTGGATGTACATCTCAGTCAGGGTCTTGGGCAGCTCTCCTCTCCTTCTGGTTTTCATCACCTCCTCCAGAACTGTAGCAGTGATCCAGCAGAAGACTGGGATGTGGCACATGATGTGGAGGCTTCGTGATGTCTTGATGTGGGAGATGATGCTGCTGGCCTGCTCCTCATCTCTGATCCGCTTCCTGAAGTACTCCTCCTTCTGTGGGTCAGTGAACCCTCTGACCTCTGTCACCACGTCAACACACTCAGGAGGGATCTGATTGGCTGCTGCAGGTCGTGTGGTTATCCAGAGGCGAGCAGAGGGAAGCAGTTTCCCCCTGATGAGGTTTGTCAGCAGCACGTCCACTGAGGTGGACTCTGTAACATCAGTCAGGATCTCAGTGTTGTGGAAGTCCAGAGGAAGTCGACACTCATCCAGACCGTCAAAGATGAACACGACCTGGAACTGATCAAACCTGCAGATTCCTGCTTCTTTGGTTTCAGTAAAGAAGTGATGAACAAGTTCCACCAAGCTGAACTTTCTCTCTTTCAGCACATTCAGCTCTCTGAAGGTGAATGGAAATGTGAACTGTATGTCCTGGTTGGCTTTGTCTTCAGCCCAGTCCAGAGTGAACTTCTGTGTTAAGACTGTTTTCCCAATGCCAGCCACTCCCTTTGTCATCACTGCTCTGATTGGTCCGTCTCTTCCAGGTGAGGCTTTAAAGATGTCTTCTTGTCTGATGGTTGTTTCTGGACTGACTGGTTTCCTGGATGCTGTTTCAATCTGTATGACCTCATTTTCATCATTGACCTCTCCAGTCCCTCCCTCTGTGATGTAGAGCTCTGTGTAGATCTGCTTCAGAAGGGTTGGGTTTCCTGCTTTAGAGATCCCCTCAAACACACACTGGAACTTCTTCTTCAGGTTAGATTTGAGTTTTTCCTGACACATGACAGCAGAATCTCCTGATTGAGCAAAAAAGGATTGAGACCAATGAGTGGATCTTACAGTAAATGTGTTACTTTCTAGAACTCAGCACATTATTATTAAATGTAAAGATCGTCTTACTCCTCTGGAGAGAATCAGCCAGTTCCTCCTGCTTCAGTCTCCTCAGAAAGCACAGAGTGATGTTCAGAAAAGATTCTCTGCTCCTCCTCTGCTCCTCATCCTCATCCTCACCATCAACCACCTCCTCCTCCTCCCTCTTCCTTTTTGTGTTGTCTGGACAAGCGCTCAAAACCCTGTGAAATCTCTTGAGCTCATTCTTCACAAACGTGTTAATGCTCTCCTCAAGAAGCTAGAATGGGAACAGTGTGATTTAAACATTAATGCTAAAATGGTGAAAGACAATATTGAACACATCATTTAATGAGCAGTTGTTTGTTTTTCATGTTATGTGGAGCTGAAGTCCAAAGTCCAAATGCAGACCTTAAATATGGAGTCCAGATCTGTTGGATGCAACTGAGCTGACTGATCCCTGCAGACCTCGCCAACACTGTGAAGGAAGAGTAAGTATCATGTCACATTATAAACCATAAAGGGTTTTCTCAGTTCCTTTTGTCAGAGTTTACATATTTCTTTTATGAGTTAATAATACCAAAAGCTGATGTTTTCACCCATGACTGTTTGTTTGTTTGTTTCTCAGTAGGATTATACAAAAAGTACAGAACTGATTTGCACCAAACTCGGTAATGGGTTGGGGCGTAGGTCAGGGAAAACCCTATAAAATTGTGATGCCAATCCAGTTGAAGGGGCGAACGAGAGATATACGAGATTGCGAGAATGCGAGGCATTTTTTTTAACAAACCATCCAAAGAAAAATTAATACAGTAACAGAAGTGTGAGAGACAACTTACTTCTGTTCAGAGGAAAGATGTCCCTCTTTGAAGTCAATATTGAAATGTTTTGACGAGTCACTCCTCATGGACACACAGCTGGGCTCAGGGCCGTCTGATCCATCATGGTGGATCCTGGTGGACGGACAATCACACACACACATAAAAATGTAAAAAGAAAAAGTTCAATGTACATTACATACAAATATTTAGCTAAATATGAAATCTGGAGTTGGCCATATTTTTGTTAATTGTTGCATGTAAGGTTCACTGCTAAATGTGTGAAGGAACAATCACTAGTGTCATTTCCTGGTATACTGTATGTATATACAGTAATGAAGAGTTTAATTTCACTATAATATCAAATTGTTAGTTTTTTGACCAACTTACTTCTGTTCAGAGGAAAGATGTCCCTCTTTGAAGTCAATATTGAAATGTTTTGACGAGTCACTCCTCATGGACACACAGCTGGGCTCAGGGCCGTCTGATCCATCATGGTGGATCCTGGTGGACGGACACACACAGTTGTGTCAAACTCAAATGGCTGGTTAGTACTAAGTCTCAGGTTTGGACATAAAAAAATGTGGAATATATGGGAAATAATGTTGCAGAAAATTAACATAGGACAGGGTCTCCCTTATTAGAATATAGAGATAACTAACCTAAAATTCTTTTATTTTTGGACTGAAACACATTACATGTAGTAAGGCTTTTCTAATGTCTAATGTTCATAAAATAATGGCGAATTTTAGAAGAATTTCAAAATAATAATAATAATAGCCAGTGCAAAATGTTCATAATGAATGTTTTTGCAGAACATTCACAGTTAATGTTTATATTCTTTCCTTCCTTGTAACTAAGTCTGTTTAAATTTGCACTTGTGCAGCTGAAAACACTTGTGTGAGGTTGTGGAAAGAGATTTGTGTGTGCATCAAATCACATGCTGCAAACTACATGTAGCCTGTATGAGAAATATGTAATGCACACAAGTGAAAAGACATTTTATGAGAGATCAACATGAGAGAATGCAATTGCACCTCTCGTGTCACTAGAAGGGGACAACACTTTTCACAACAAGAGTTTGATGCCAAAGCGTTCCTGGCATGGCGATCAGGGTCTATATATTCAGCTTTTTATATGAGAGATATTTTTATGTCTTCAGCACTTGTGAACATAGGGTCAAAGATCTCTGATACGGTCCTATCTGTATCAAATGAGCTGCGTGTTGATATCATAATATGTTGTTTTACGATGAGACTGTCCAAAGTTCAAGTATCAGCACATCAGAGCCTAAAAACATCAATAACAATTCTTATTAAAAACTCAAATGACTACAATACCTTTCCATGTTGTAAATAACCAGCAGCCACACTGATGTGAGACAACAGACTAGACAGAGAAAAGAGGAGAAGGTTATTGTCGTCCTTGTATGATCCATTTAATAATTGCTAATGAATGTAATGGTAAGAAAAATACAAAATAAATAAAAGATTAAATCAAGGACTACATTAAAGAGGAATATCAAACTATTTTCAAAGACAAGAGATGAGAAAAATCAACGACAGCACAATGAGGCTGCATGTGATTATGTTCTGAAGAGCAACACATCTGCACAAACGCTTTGTTTCTGAATCAGACACTGTAATAAGGACGATACTTACTTCAATCATGCAGGTATTCCTGACGGTTCAGCAGGTCCATGTGTCTTTTTCACATCTGTATCATCTGAGTGGGATCATCTGCTAAAACAAAGGCTAGTGAAGGCTAGGCTAAGTGAAATGAGTCAAACGCCGCTCCTTCTCCCTTGTCATTGTCGTTTGAATGTTTGAATCTCAGCAGATTATAAAACTATAAACCAGGTCTGAGGACAAAGATCAGGCTGCAGTTTTATATTACTATCATACACAGTGAACAAAGGTCTCCTGCTGCGATTAAAAACATGATATTTGAACCTTAACACCACTAAACCTTAACTCTCAGAGTTAAGTTTTATTATTCAGGTGTTATTTCATACTGTTTTACAATCTTTGCCACATCTGGGTATGCCACTGGCAGCAAATTGGCATTAGTGAACTGAAACTAATGTGACATCTCCCCCTGACCAGTTTAAATTTCTCCACCTGATTAATTTCTTAGTCTCAGTAAATCACAGTCACTCAGTTTTCAAATTAATTTAAACAATAAATTCTTGTACACAAATGTACAATCTTTTTACTATTTATTTAAATGTAGAGTTATAAATGGTTAAGTATAAAATGTGCTTTTGTGACAAGTTGCCCCATCATTAACTATCTGGGGTAAATTGTCACTTTATATTTTTCAGATGTTAGAGAGTGACATGCTAATGCTAGCTTAGTAGCATTAGCTAACCGTTAAAGAGTGACATGCTAACGCTAGCTTAGTACAGCTCTTTGGTTTAGGTATCAAAATAAACATGTTCTCTCATCTATCACGTGCTAAAGTAATATAATTGAACACCAACTTTTATTACATAAATAGCAGCTTAATTTTTTTTACTTTGAGGTTTGAAAATTTGATGCATGTAAGTAACCGTAAGTAACGGTTGGTTTTTTAGATAGCGCCCTTTGGTTTTGGAGATATGATCGGTTTGACAACTTACCCCTTTGACAAGATGTCGCGGTCTCCCCTTGTTAAAATTCAATACATCATTACCTGTATTTTTTAGCGAAAAAAATTCTATGGAGACTATTTTTATATTTTATATCTTTTCATACGTTTCATGTCGAGAGATACGACACTTAAGCAACGGTAAAGCCCTGTAGTAGCAAATGACCGTTAGCAAAGATCCTCTATACAGGAAATGACGTCTCAGTTTCTCCAGAGAAATCGAGACAGCAGAGAAACAGGTGCAAAAAACACCCTTAATTTCATCCTTAGGGTTTCCTTAAAATGTTCACGTCACTATTTAAGGCTTTCTCCTTATCTTGGTCTAATATTTAAGAAATCACTTAAAGTCAGTTAAACCATTGCAAAAATAAAAATAGAGTCAGGATTTTCCTTATAGTCTGAGTTAAGTTTTCCTTAAAATTAAACCAGTTGCAAAAAACACCCTTAATTTCATCCTTAAGGTTTCCTTAAAATGTTCACTTCACTACTTAAGGTTTTCTCCTTATCTTGGTCTTAGAGAATTTCAGTTAGTCTTACAGATCTTTTAAGATTTACCAAACACATTTTGTGCTTTACTTCATATTTCAGAGGAAAATATTGAACTTTTTCTCCATTATATTTTCTTCATTTAAATGAGTTAAAATGTTCTTTGCAGATTAAGATTTAAAATAAGTTACACTCACACTGTATGATCAATATTCAACATGGAAAAATATGATTAGGAAATATTATATATGTCATGTCATATGATTATATTAAGAAGAAGTCCATTCAGGAATCAAAAGTATCTAATTGAATGATTTTATTGTCCAAATTAGGGTTTGAATTATGAGTGTGGGAAAAACCGGAGCACCCGGAGGAAACCCACGCCAGGACAGGGAGGAACTGGGTCCAGTGGTGGGCCTGGCTTCAGTAACGAGGCCAGAACCACCAGTGAGCCCAGTTCCCCCCTGTGTGGCACAGTGTAAACTAGTGATAGGAGACAGGCCAGGGCTGTTCACCAGCATTAGCCTGTCCTTTGACACCGGCAACAGTGAGGCAACAGTGCTATCCGCTGCTCCACCGTGCCACCTTCAGGAGTTTACAGAAAGATTGCGGCCAAGATGAACCACACGCCACAAACAGCTCCCAGACTTATAGCAGGCCAGAAGAGTTTACTGCGTGAAGATGTCTTCTTCTTTTTTGCAGACACAGTCGAGTACTTTGAGATGTTGACTTGTAGTGTGTTGACGATGACCGCATCCACGCTTGGTTGCTCAGACAGCATCACAAAGTTCAGAGAGCTCTTCCCGCCAAGCTTCTTGGTGAGATCCTTGATGACGGCCCTGCAGATCTTTTTGATGTCTTTTTCATCAGGGCAGAAACCGTCTCTCACGGTGAGTCCCTGCAGTGTTCGGTTCACCAGGTGTTTGGCGTAGGTGGCCAGTTCTTCCTCCGTGCAGATGTCCAGGACACTGCACTTTTGGAGCAGTCTCAGGGTCAGCAGGGTGACAAACAGCTTGTTCTGGTCCACGGTCTCCACGATGGCTTCAAAGCCAGAGGAAGGAGAGTCAGCAGAGTGGGTGGTCTTCTCTGATGTGGCTTGATAGCTGCAGGCAGGAGAATCAAACTCTCCTCTTGGTAACTCCAGGATGATTGTAGAGGGGCCTGGCTGAACAAGGATTCGTGTGACACCAGGGGGGAAAGAAGTGAATCCACTGGGACGAGCAGTGGACAAGTTGGGAATGGCTCCAAGAACAGGAGCCGCTGAGTCTTGACATGAACTGTTCTCCATCACAGAAGAAAACGTATCTTGAAAGTGGATGCTCTGAGAAACGTGTGTGTCTCTGGTGAGGTCTTGAGTACAATGACTAACAAGCAGGAAAACTGTTGGTTTCCTTCACATACCTGTGCCTTTGATGCAGCTGATCAAAGGCAAAACAATGAGCAATCTAGAATCTGACGTAGCTAATTCAAAGGATCTAAACGCTGCTGCAACGTGCTCACGCATACTTGCGTGCCTACGCACGTTGCAGCGAGCGTACACGCGCGTGGGTACGTAGGCTGCGACTCCTGACTCAAGCTGCTGTTTTCTCTGTTTTCATCATTTATGTAATTTGGTTTGAATATTAATGTTGGATATTTATGTATGATTCTCCATCAGGTAGTTACTATAATAATATGATGTGATTATATCGGCCGACACTATTTTAGCAATAATTCTAATGTATCTCACCTTGTACATGGTCACATGGTTTTGTATTTAATGTTACACACCAGAGGTCTGTACTACGAAGCAGGATTTGAGGTTATCGAGGTAACTTCAGGTTTAACTCTGGTTTTCAGTCCTACGACGATGGTTCACTTGTTACCGGGGTAAATCACCATGGTAACTCACGCTGAACCCCTAACCTGCTCCGGCGCAGGTTAACCTCAGAGAATCAGATGAAAACCTGTCAACAGCCAAATTACTGACCAATCAAATCACTGGTAAAATGGAGTCATCATTGCTACAGGATCCTGATAGGGACAAAAGAGTTTACAATAAAGTGATCAACAATACAAACAAAACATTGTGAGTTCAGCATCAAACATCATTCTTCACTTGCTAAGAGCTGTGTGCAGCTTTGCAAAGCGACGCCATGGTAATTCTTGTTTTGCATCTCGTTATTTACATGGGGACATGAGGAAACACTGAGCTGGAGAGTGCAAACAGGAGGAAGCTATGATGGCTCATTATCTGTGGGTCAGTTTTACTCCTCTCCTCTGTCAGAGTTTAAACTGTCACTGGTACAAATATGTATTGAATAACCAAGTCTTTGTTGGAAATGAATGCTGGAGTCCAAGATGGCGTCATTGCCTAGCCATGAATGCTGTTCACCTACCTCATATGTTTTTCTGGTTCTCTTCCACGCCGTGTGTGTGCGTGTGCTTTTAAGAAATCTTTAGAAATGGAGCTGAATGGAAGAAAAGCTCTTGGTGCCTTTTTTAATTTGAATGAAATCTCTCAGATCAAAGTGACGCCTCTCACTCCGCCTGCCCTGCGCGCTGACGTGATGACACAACAATGCAGCTGTTGTGCTTATTAATTGCAGTGCATCTTCTGGACACTGACAGAAGGTGCAGCTGTTGACTGCTCTCCACATCATGTAAGTACAAGATTTTATCGTCTGTCATTACAAATGTTTTGAGCGTTAAGTGCTTTGAAACAAACAGCTGAACACACTAAAAACTAAACGCTTCAACTTGTCAAATCCAAAAAGAGAGTTTTCTTTCCACACGCTGCAGCATGGGAAGTTAAACTGAAAGGATGAATTTTATGGTTGAAAAAGTTCAGCATTTTCCAAAATTGAAGGCGAGGAAACTCAAAACTGCTAAAAACAAGTGGAGTTATTGGTTTCTGAAAGGTTTACATTTACACTGTCCTTTGCCAAGCCAGTAATTTTCCTTCTGTTTAGTCAAACTGGTTTAACTGAAATGTGAACGGGCACCTCCCTGTTTCCTTTTATTTTTGTAGTGTCTAATAAAGGAATCACCTGCTACAAACAGGAAATGTTCAGCAGCAGTTCAGGTAACACCCCGCTCATCTCTTTTGTTTGTTTTGTTTGTCGTCACAGCTGTCGTCTCTCCAGATGTTACACTTTTATTCTTGAAGTAAATGTCTTTATTTGTCTGTGTCTTCTGATTGGTGTTCCTGCAGACAGCCACCCATCAGGCTATGACCTGGGCCCCGAGCCAAGGGACCAGGGGTCACATGGGGGTCATGGTCATGGAGGAGACCAACATGGAGGAGATCGCCAATTAGCAGATCGCCATGGAGGAGATCACCATGGAGACCGCCATGGAGGAGACCAACATGGAGGAGACCAACATGGAGGAGATCACCATGGAGACCGCCATGGAGGAGATCGCCATGGAGGAGATCACCATGGAGACCGCCATGGAGAAGACCGCCATGGAGGAGACCAACATGGAGGAGATCGCCATGGAGGAGATCACCATGGAGACCGCCATGGAGGAGATCGCCATGGAGGAGATCACCATGGAGACCGCCATGGAGGAGATCGCCATGGAGACCGCCATGGAGGAGATCATGAAGATGATCACGGGAGACGTAGTCACGACCGTGACCACGACAGCCACAGGGACAGGCACAGCCCCGATCACCATGGAGACCATGAACATGAACGTGACCACAGCCCCCGTCGTCGCCGTGGCAGCGGTGGTAGGAGCCCGGGTCGTGGCAGTGGCGGCAGCGGCAGCAGCGGTGGGAGCGGCGACAGCGGCAGTGATGATGAGCGCGGCGGCCATGGAAAACATGGGCGCAAACACAAACATAAGCACGGGCATGGGCGTGGTCATGGACAAGGTCGTGGACACGGTCGTGGGGGTGGACGCTGGTAGAAAGGTGAATACAGGTGAGATATAAACGGCCTATTTAAACTATTTCCTCCGTCAGCTTCTTTATCGACGGTTCTCACAGGAACAAGATTATAAAAGTTTGTTTCTGTGTTTCTCTTCTTCACTGGTTTCACCTGTCAATCACCAAAGGAGGGAAACTGAGTTTTCTTTCTTCTGTCTTGACTTCCAGGCAGCAGACACACTGACCGGCGGAGGCTCTTCCTGCCTCTGTGCTCTTCTTCTGTGGTATTTGATGGTCTTCTTCCATGTACTCATACTAAACCCATTGTTAGAACAGTATCAGTGCTCTGCTTCCCACTGGAGCAGTGGGAAGCAGAGCACTGATACTGCTCAATGCTCTAATTCTGAAATACATTGAATAAAATCTTCTGAAGACATAAACTGGAAAGAAGCCTTTCTTTATATTTTGTATATTTTGAGCCCCCCCCCCAAATATAAATATCATTTATTTTCTATTTCCTGTCTCATATTTTCTGTTTTTGAGCTCGAGATTCACTCATCTCATATTTAAACATATTTCATTATTAACTGAGTTCTTAACGTTGACTGGTTGTTGCAGCCTGAGGCTCCAAAATGATAAAAAAAAAAAAGCTGTTGCTTCATATTGTGAGTTTAAAATGAGTCCAACCTGCAAATAACAGATAAATAAACATCATTTAACCAGATCTAACAGAGATGAATAATAATAGAATTTAAGTAATAATGTCATAAATGATTTTATGGTTTTAAACAGATGTAAAAATCCAAAAGATTCTTTATTTAAAAGTATTTTATGTCGTATGTTTAGCGAGTGTCTCCAGTGAGGCAGTTCCTGCATGTTTCTCTCTGTGTGAGCAAAGTAAAGTTGAATCCGTCCTCTTCTTCCTCCTCTGCTGCCAAAACACACGTGAAAGGCCGAGCGGGAAAACATTGACTTAACCCCGACCAGCCTCCTCTCCTGTTTTCATGTCCACACAAACTCTGCAGGGTAAACATGACGAGCGACGGGGTCGTCCTGTCCAACAGGTGTCTGACACACGTCACGTTCTCACAGGAAATGATCGGTGCTGTCGCTTCTGACAGAGACACCGTGCAACATGATTCATCTCTGCGATGCCTGCCCCTGATTCTCCTCAGGTTTTATTAGTGGAGAATTCATTGCATTGACCAGAACAATGCATTGAATTCTCCTGTGTGGGAACTTGATTCGTTCAGAAACCAGATTTAGAAGAAAAAATAATCACTGGTGACACCAAGTGGCAGCAGGAGGGAACTGTTACACTGTGACACACGTTCCTTCATCATGAACACACACCGTCCTGCTGCCACCAAATACTCAAAGAGCGGCAAATGTGGATTAATCCGCCGCTGAAAATAGTCCCCGACAAATGCACTGTTTCCTCCTGTTTCTTTTAAGTAAATGAGTGAGCATCGAATCTTATGATTTCATTAATAACATTTTCAGCTTCAGTTTTGCTGCAGACACAAACAAGATGACTCCAGTTTTTACTGTAAAATACTCTTTAACTGTGGGAAAGTTCTGCTGTGAACTATTGTGGTGGCTGCCACAGACTGAGGCGTGTTGCAGTGTTGTGAGGTGATGACATGTTGCAGACAGAGACTGAAGAGAAGCCACATTCCTCCAGCACCACAGGATCAGACAGCAGGATGTGAACAGCAGCTAAAACACATATTAGCTCCTGGTTCAGTGGAAAACTTCCCTTCATTTTGTCATATGACATAATCACACTCGTTGTCAATGAAAGGCAGGTCCTTGTATCGGATCTCCACCTCCCAGCAGAGCTGCAGCGCCTGAGCAACGATATCCTCCGACATCTTCTGAGCTAAATCCAGGATCTGTTTCCCGACCGGAGGAAGGTCCAGTGAGCAGACATCAGCTGCCGTCTCCTCCGGACCGACGAGACGTTCAGTCTCCTTCACGTCCTCCAGAAAGGCTTTCCTCTCATCTCCTTGTTTGAGGATGACGGCCTCCTTCTGTTTGTCTGGACAGGAGCGAGACCAGCACCTGGACTCATTACATCCCATTTCACAGAGACACCGGAGGAACAGTCGACTTCTTAGCAGGAGGAGAGTTTGATGATTACCAAGGACTGTGTTTCATCACCTGTTGAACTAATAACAGCCTCAGCCGAGGTTAAACCAGTCTTTAAGCACAGGTAGCAAAACATTTAAGAGAAGTTCAGACATTTAAAGGGGAAAAATGGCATTTAAAGTCATTTAAAATGGAAAAACATAGAAAAACCACTTGTTGAATCAGAGTAACTTTATCAGCGCCACTACAAGGCAAAGATTAAATATGAAGCAGTTGTGAATCTTTTACCGTCTGCTGTGGAGCAGCTCCTCTCCGACTCTGAGCAGGTTAGTTTAAGGTTTGTGCTGCGTTCAGAGCTGCTGATAAACAGGCAGGTGAACCCGTTTCCTCCTCCTCCTCCTCCTCCTCCTGCTGCTGCTGCTGGGTGGTGGTGGTGGTGGTGGTGGTGGGAGGAGCAGATCGATCTGCACCACCCATAAAAACACATCACTCTGTCTCCTAAAAGTCAGTCACTATAGTCAATTCATTTAGGGAGAAAATGATTCCTGAAGCTTTAATGAGCCACTGAAACATGAAAGTTGCCTTTTCACTTAGTTTCCATGTTTGTTCATGTGAAGAAAACTCATTCCATCTATTTAAGATTTCCCCCTGAATTATTTAAATAAATTATAAATAAATCCATGTTTGTTTTTCTTCCCCTGAATCTGCTACTTCCACATCTGGACACACAGAAAATGTTGTGGATGTCAGGTAATAACAGCTGGACTCTGCCCAGATGTGGAAGTTTATGGGCCAGACTTTTATTGAAATAATTAAACAAAAAGAAAAGAAAATAATCCTATTAATTTAAAAACATTATTATTATTTAAGTGTCTGGTTAACTTTAGTTCTCAAGGATTGCACCTTTAAAGTTAGTGTATGTTTAGAGAAAAGAAAGTGGGTCATTTCTGTTTAGAGACTGGCCTCAGGTCAGCAGGTGATGGTGCCTTCAGGGTCACTGCAGAGGGTGGGAGTTTATACAGCTCTCAGGGCAGATGCAGGGCTGCCATCTGGTGGAGCTCTACCCGAACAGTTTTAGCTCTGAGAGATAAAGTTGATAGTTGCAGGTTGAAAGTAGCAGCTGAAACATCTGCTCTTTATTTCTTTCCTCAAAAATTTCACAATAAAACTAAAAGCTCTATTTGCATCTTTTGAATTTCCCAGCATCTTTTCTCTCTCGGTGTTGGACAACTCCAGTTTCCAGATGAGTTAACCACATCCATCCTGCTGAAGTGTCCTCGAGCAAGAGCCCATGACTGCTCATCCATTTTCTTTTAAAAGTTTTTAAATCATTCCTAAAATGTGGAATAGTAAAATCGTTTAAAGAGACAATATTGATCATAAAGTCTTGCTACCTCTTTAAATCTCTCTGATTAAAAAAAAAGATCCTCCTTGCAGCCAATCATAAAGCCCTGAGGTCCGAGGACAGGCTCATATCAGCCGGCGTCACCGCACCGTCCTCTTCGTCCCCCCAGGATGCTCCTCCTGTTCTGTCTGACCGTCTTCCTCTCTGCGGGTTTTTCCATGGAGACGAAGCAGACCTCCAAGCTGCTGGCGGAGAGCGGAGAGCAGTGCTCGGCCTGCGACTTCCGGGAGCACAGTAAGCAGATGAGGCTCCACAACATCAAGTCCCAGATCCTCAGCATCCTGCGGCTCGAGCAGGCTCCCAACATCAGCCGGGACATGATCCGCCAGCTGCTGCCCAAAGCGCCTCCTCTGACGCAGCTCCTGGACCAGTACGACCCGCGGGTGGAGGACGAGGACCACGCCACGACGGAGACCATCATCACTATGGCCACCAAGCGTAACTAAACCAAGCCAAAGCAATATTTTACATTTTCTACTTTGTTCTGCACCGGGATCTTTTCTAAACGTCGTGCGTAAAAAGCGAAATCCGCGCGTAAAGTTTGTGCGTAAAGCTTGTTTCCAACCAGAAAACAAGAGGCAGCTCATTTTCATGTAACTGGACAAAGAATATATTTACTTTATTCACATCTTTGAGACGTGACAAACAAATATTTCTGTAAATTAATTGAATTATGTAAATACATCCATATGGATGCGCATTAGTATTTTAGCAACAATGTAAAAGTGCATCTCATGCATTTTTATAAAGTTAAAGTCACACAATCCAATTTTATTTATTATTATGAACATTTTGGTAACTAGTCATATTATTCTATTCATGAAAAAACAAACTTTTTCACTTCAACAAGTTTTAAAGAAAACCACACAGGCAGCACACAACATGTCTTTACTCTAGGTTTTATATGAGTGTTAAATATGTCAGAAGAATCTATCAGGTATCCAACTTTAAGGTCAATAAATGGATCAGTGAGGTGAAGCCTGTGTGGCTGCCACTCATTCCCACACACACATCCACTCATGGTGTGATCTGCCAGTATCTTTGTGGGATATCTTGGTGTTAGATGAAAGGTCAAAGAGTGTCGAAGAACATGAGGGTTCATCTCATGAAGACCATGAATATCCAGCAAACTTCATGGTAATCAATGTCAACACATGTTGGGGAAGAGAGTTGAGCAAAGGTTACCAGGGTTCATCCTCAGGGGATCATGAATGTTGTTGGACAGACAGAACACGAAACCAAAGGCAGACAAACGTTCAAGCCAAATGTTTGTATGAAACAAGATAATCATTTTATATGAATGATTTCTTCCAGCCAATCCGATCGCCCAGGACGAGTTGTACTCCTGTTGTCTGTTCAGCCTCAGTCCAAAGATCCAGCCCAAGAACATCCTGAGCGCGAAGCTGTGGGTTCACCTGCGGCCGGCCGACATGGTCACCACCGTCTTCCTGCAGATCTCCCACCTCAAACCCGGAAAGGAGGGAAACAACACCCGAGTCCGAGTCCGCTCCCTGAAGATCGACACGGACGCCGGCGCCGGCTCCTGGCAGAGCATCGACATCAAGTCTCTGCTGCAGGCCTGGCTGCATCAACCAGAGACCAACTACAGCATCGAGATCAACGCCTACGACTCCAGAGGAGAAGATCTGGCCACCACCTCTGCAGAGCCCGGAGAGGAGGGACTGGTGAGTTCACCACAAATCTAAATATTAACTTTGATGTTGAGTTTCCTTCTGGATGGATGAAAAGAAACTTTCAAACTTCATCCAACAAACTCAGGCAGACTTCCTCAGAGTCCCCAGTTTTCATGGAAGTACAGATGTTTAACCTGTGATGTTGTTTTCAAGACTGAATTGACTTGGGGGGGTTTGTTAGTAATGTTTTAAATTTCCTTCCTAGCAACCGTTCATCGAAGTGAAGATCCTCGACAGCCCCAAGAGATCGCGTCGTGACTCGGGCCTCAACTGCGATGAGGAATCTGCGGAGACCCGCTGCTGCCGTTACCCGCTCACCGTCGACTTTGAGGAGTTCGGCTGGGACTGGATCATCGCGCCCAAACGCTACCGGGCCAACTACTGCTCCGGGGAGTGTGAGTTCATGCACCTGCAGCAGTACCCGCACGCCCACCTGGTGAACAAGGCCAACCCACGGGGCACCGCGGGGCCCTGCTGCACGCCCACCAAGATGTCGCCCATCAACATGCTCTACTTCAACCGCAAGGAGCAAATCATCTACGGAAAGATCCCGTCCATGGTGGTCGACCACTGCGGCTGCTCCTGAGGAAACCCAGGCGTCCTGCAGGACTTAGGTTTGACCCCGGAAGCTCCATCTCCGGTGAAAGTGATGCAGACTTTTTAAATATTGCAAAACAAATCCATCCTTCAAGGAATGGACTCCTGAATGTATTCTGTAGTTTCATACTTTGTTCTTTTATCCCTTTTGTCCAAACACAGAAACAGACATAAACCAAAGAGTAAGACACGAGCACAGCAGCTCACAGAGATTCTTCACTAAAGGTTGAAATGTAAATATGTTAACCATGCTGCTCATGTCACAACTTTCTTTACTTTATGCTTTTTAAATGAGCTCTGGAAACACAACCGTGTCAGTGCAGCCAAATCTAAGATTCATCCATCACACACACACACACAGATAGACGGACTCCTGCTGCTTCCTGTCCTCCTGTCTTATGAAACGTGTCCTGATTTGAGCCCTGACCAGAACAAACCCCGCAGGGCGTCTTCCATGTGCGCCTTTATTTTTAAAAACATGAACCGAGTGACTCTGAGCCGACACGTCGCCCCTCTCTGTCCCAACGCTTGTTTGCAAACTCCTCGCTGTGACCAGTTCTCAAGAGCGTCACAGCAGCGGAGAGAGAAGAGACTTCTTTATTTTTATTTTTTGCAGGTGTGTCGTTCAGTGTTGTGATTTTCTTTGCGGTGGATGGATTGTGCAGCGTGTTGTAAACTGTCAGCCGTGTCTTCTCCTATAGACTCAAGCCTTAAAGGTCCACTGAGGAGGACACGGTTCTCTCCATCCTGAAAAGTTGAATACATCTCCAGCGTCACAAAACATTTTTAAAAGCTTCTTCTTCTGTGGTTTTTGCTGGTGCACTGCAGAATTTCTTGGTGCGTTAGTGCCAAGGAATCTGCAGCTGTGTCCCACTTCAGCAGCCGCTTCCTTCAGAGGAGGCGAAGGCTGAACTGAACTGAAACCGTCTGGCCTACGGAGGATTTTCACTTTGCCCGCCCTTACGATTGTGTCGTAAAGCGTGGCTCCTGTCACCTAGCAACCCTTAAGGCCCTTAGCTTTAACAGTTCTAAGATCAGCTGTTGAACTGAACTGAAACCCAATTCTAACATGTATAAGAGTGATCCTCAGGCTTTCTGTCTGTCTGTGTTGTGCAATGAATCTTGGGATAGGTTGGGCCATGATGGATCCACCTGTCGGAGCCTTCGTTGCCTAGGAGGAGAAGGACAGTCTAGTCACGCCGCTGTGACGCAGTCGGTCTTAATGCAGCCTCTGAAGGACGCGACCCCTGTCAACAGAGTGGAGTGAAACCAGTGGACTTCACGCCGTCCTCCTTTACGATGACGTTGTGTTTTAAGGCTGCAGGATTTTGTATTTCTGAAGTGTAACTTGGCACCAGACTGAGCAGCAGTCGCTTGTTTCACCTCTGACAAGACTCAGAGTCAGACATGTGCTTTGTCATGAGACGTTAGGGGGCGTGGAGTTAAACTCTGGTACTTCAGATGAAAGCATTTCTGTGTAATATCGTAAATGCTCCTTCACAAGTAAATAGAAGAACTAGTAGAAGACATACTTAATGCAGCTGATTTGCATGAGTTCACACCAACACCAGGCCTCTGAACCGACCTTAACTTTAATCTCAAGAAAACCGTGTCTGAACAGCCGGCGAGGTTCAGGATCCATCGATGTGAGAGCAGGAAATGTGATCTCAGAGGGAGGTCTCATCTCCATTTGAAGCTGAGTGCAGATGTCCTGACTGTTGTTGTGCTTCACGGGGGTTTCTGACCCAGAAGTCTTTGCTGTTGGAACAGAACGTCCATGAGTGACACAGATTCACGTTTGTGATTCTGCAGTGAACTTGAGTCAACTTTCTTAACCTTTTTTTTGCTGCAACAACGTCCATCAGAGATAATTGATGCACGGTGGTTTGCTTTTTCTGCAGATATGCATCAGATCACTGAGCAGGAAAAAACTAAGATTTGCAGAATTATTCCTTTTCATGAGATTTTAAATCTCAATAAAATTACTAAAAACATGTTATGGTGAATATTTTTATATGTTTTGATTTTAAAATGTGTTTTTGGATAAAGAAAACTAATGAAAGCAGCGTATTTTGATGGAAACTTTTTTATATCCTGCATTTGTTGCTATTTATCTTTACATAACAATCAAGAATGACTTGATTGTTAGAATTCAGACTATGTTGACTCACAATATACAGTAAATACATGTGCTCAGACACAACACGAGTATGAAACAGGAGGTGATGTTGCTGCATCAGTTGGAGCTCTGAAAGTGAAGCAGAGATGGGGGGATGCTGCACTGAAGGACACTGGTCCCTGTGTGTCAAAGCAAGAACTGAACTGATGAACTGTGTCGTTGGAAAATCAGCTGCAGAGGACAAACAGTGATCAAACACTGATGTCAGTCAGTATTATTAGCAGTGTGTAATCTGCTCTGCACAGGTGCCAAACCCACAAACTCAACTGCTGCTGGGTAATGAAGATCTTCACATATTCAGATAATTTAGTTTCCGCCACATGGGTGCACCAGAGTTCACCAGAGAATTTGCGTGACTTGTAGAAGGTACTTAAGTTTCATATTCCCCACCATTAAAACTGCCACTGTTGACTATGAATATGTTGAATAATGATAAACTGTCGGGAATACTCTGATGCATGTGAGGAAAGAGCTTGTCCACAGTTGTCAGATGAGGAGTTATTACTAATGTCTTTGCATTAATAAGAATATTACCACTTGCTGTGTTGTGTTTTATAGAGCAAACTGCAGTTCTTGGATAAATTTGTACATTTTTCAGATTTTTTTATCAGTATCGTTGATTAACAGTTACATTATTCTCTTGTGCTTCTGAATAAAATACTCATTGTAAATAATGGTAAAAGAAAAGAATATTTTAAGCCTTTATTATTGTCTTGTTTTTTTTTTTTTTAAATAAAGACACACACAAAGAGGTAAAAATAATCCCATATTTCATGTACTTACAATTCATTTCTGAACCCACACCACAGAGCTGCTACTCTGTTTTGTTGAAGTACCTCAAGATTCTGACTTTTAGCTCATAATTTCGATTTTCTGTCATAATTATAACTTTTATCTCATAATGTTGACATTTTATCCCATAATTATGACGTTATATCTCATAATTTTTACTTTTATCTCATAATTTATTTTTATCAAGGCGTTTTTATCTCATTTTTTCTTTTACTGGTTTTAATTTACTTCCATAGTTTCAGTTGTCTGCCTTACTTTCTCTTTCTCTGAAAACACGTGGTCACCCTGGAGCTGTTCTGTGTCCTGGCTTCCCTCCCCCCCAAAAAACTGCATTATTTTTGCTTTTAATAATTCAAATATAATTTATAATTTATAATTTTACATACAATTTCACAACATTAGAGTCTATAAATCGTCAAAACGTGTGTCTATTGTTTTATTTTGTGCTGTTATCGGTAAATTTATATATAACACCTTGTGTATAATTGTTGTTTTGGGGAGGCGTGCTTACTGATAGAACAGCCGCCTTGCCTTCGTTCTGATTGGCTGCCATAATCAAATGGGCGGACACATGTCGTGAATCCGAAGCGGTGATTGGCTTACTGTGTTTCCGTACAGTAAGATACCTCAAAAGTAGGCTGAGAAGCTGCCTGACAGATCCGAGCTTTTTCGGAAAAGAAGACTGCACTTCTTTTCGAGGTTGCACACATTTCCTCAAAAATAAAAGGTAAGTTTAATGACTTACTTTCTCTCGTAGTGGCATCATTTACCCCCCGAACCCGCTCCCTCTCCTCTTATCGGGACACTCTGAACGCTGTGCCTAGCTCGCTAACGAAACTGAGCAGTTGAAAGTTGGCTTTGCTAGTCGACAAAGTCAGACAAAAAACACCTCTAAAGGCATTTTATACTAGCGTCCACTTGTATATTTATTTGAATTATTGTCCACTAAAACAGCAGTTATTCAAATCAAATTTTATCTTTATTATTTTACAGTATTCGTCACCGACGTCTAAACGTAACCTGTGCTACATGTTGAAACTATCGTTTATATGTAACACCTGGGTAATTACACACAGGCCGAATTCACCTGTGCCACAGCAGCATTCAGAAAACGCGTTGAGTCTTTTTCTGTTTAAAGGTATATATGGCGGGAATATTAGAAAACCTTAATGTCTGAGCAGAGTTTCGTTTATTAGGACTGCCAGAGCTCAGTGTTTTTCCCTGGGGATCTGAGCAGCCAGAGAGATATTATTCTCTGAAAATGCAAATGTGAAACCTGTATTGTGCTGCAGACACGTAGTATAACTCACACTGCAGGTTTGCTATGAAAAGACAGTTCAGTATAATGATTCATACAAAATAAAACACGTTATATGAGCTCTAAGTGCATCTCTACATGCAGAGTCTTGTTGAGATTTATCCAGGCAGATTCTGGAGGTAGACATGTGGGGAAAACGAAACCTATGGTGTCATCCTCCTACATTAATGTCTCCAACTTGTAATGTGAAAAAATATTAATAAAGTTGAGTTTAAATAATGTAAAAAAAAAATGAAGGTTTGATGCAGCAATACTTGAATGTTCTTTGTATTAATCAATGTAAATCATCTATTTTCAACTTTTCTTTCGTCGTCTTCCTTTTTTGGATTTTCCATCAACAGCACGAAATATTTATCACATCGTCCTAAAGTCTCAGATGTTGGACTTTCCTGTTGACACCTAACTTTTCATTTAAACCCAGATTAACCTCCATTCTCTGGTTTCTAATTCCAATATTTTTCTCAGAGCAGGAGGAGGAGCTCCTAATGACTACAGTGTCGGTACTTCTCATTTCCGAGTTCCTTGCTGTGTAAGCAATCAGCAGGTTTAGAGTAATGAGCAAACACAGGCGCTGGATTCAGACCTTTCACTGGGAAGTGTGAGGACGTCTGGGATTACATAACATTTTACTGGTTACTGCAGGAACACAGGTTATGTTGCACAGACAGAAAAGTGACCAAACACAACAAAGCTGAAATAA